TTTGATGAAGAATATGTTTGAAGCTTCTGACAGTTTGGTGACTTCAATGTGCTGCTCACACATATGCTTTGATTTTTGTACACTTTAAATGCATTTAACATTGACATCTCCACTGGCCTGGCTGCAGTGGAAATCTCTGTCTGGTCTGTGCACAAAGCTTCCAGAGGGGTTGTTGGGCTGAGCATTGAATGAAAGGAAATGCTAAAATGAAGGTTGTTAGACTAACTGTAAATCAGCCCCTTTCTGGAGTCACATCTTTGCAGAGGCCCATTGCAGACATGGAGGGAACTCTTGTCAGGCTTCCCCCCAAAAAGGCATGGATACTGCCTTGGGATCATCCCACAGAGAGGTTTCCTGCTCCCTTGGAAAGAGTGCCATGGCTGCATGCAAAGATTGCAACCCAAAGCAAAATCCACTCAGAAAACCTCACCAAGCTTTTAAGCTGTGGGTGGTTTTGTAGCCCTCTGGAAAAAAGGCTTGTGCTGAAGGATTCTGGGCAGCCTGCAGTGCTGCTGCTAATAACCACTGAGATGCTGGGGGAGGTGAGTGTTCCCTGCTGAGAGCTGGGAAACACTGGCTGAGGAGTGAGGACAAAGAGATAGAAGGAGATGGAACAAAATGAGAACAGTTAGAGAGAATTGAAGGTGAAAGCGAACTGTAGGCTTCCCCATAACTGCAAAGCCCCAGACCCATTCCAGGTTTTTAAAGCAGAGCTCTGGAGCCCCTTTACACACTTTCAGGTAGCCATTTGGTTCCCTGATCATTGCTGTGATGTTGGATCAGATGACCTATAAGGATCCCTTCTAACTCAAGCAGTTCTGTGATTCTGTGGTTTGGTTGTTTGTGGCAGCAACAACAGCCATGCAGGACCAAATCTGTCCTGTGTGCCAACAGAAGAGGGCTGATTTTAAAGTTAAGAGCCTAATCCTTCACATTAACTATGTTCTTCTGCCAGCTCTGGTCATGAGAACATGGTCTCCAGATTGCAGAGTCAGCCAACTACAGCCACAACCGCCACATCGCTTTGACCTTTGGAATTGTCTCCAGCATGGCCAGTCCTCCCAGATGCCCAGAGGTGGGGAAGGCTGTGAGCACATGGGGTGGAGGAGCCAGGCCGTCACATCAAGCTGCCCCACCACCGTGTGGTCCCATGACAGCATGCTGCAGTCTCGAGGCTGCAGCTCAAGTGCTAGGGAGTGCTCTCCATGGCTGGGATACCCCCAAAGGAGTGCTGCTCAGCCTTTTGTAGCAAAGAAAAAATACAGAAATAATAATATATTCTTTAAAAGAGTAAGGTATGGGTTACCATTACAAAAAAAAAAAAAAAAAAAAAAAGTAAAAAATCCCCTTTATGTATAGGATGATGGATAGGTTTTACTTGCTTTCTTTCCCCCCTTTAGAGACACTAAAATGATTCTTTGTTGAGCAGTGGGAGCAGATCACAGAGCTGCTCACTGTATCACCTGAGCTCCCTTTCTTCAGGGTGACAATAGCATTATTCAGTGCTTTTGCAGCAGTGTGGGAGTGCGGTGGCACAAAAAGTGCTGTAGCTCCATCCACAAGTGAGGACAGAACTTAGAAGTAATGTTCTCTTGTCCAAGCAAGATGGGACTCTGGATGTGGTCTGTTCCAGGGCTGCAGTAAAAATACTTCCTCTGGAGGAGAAGTAGATTTTCAACCCAAAATGTGTATAATAAATAAGTAACATGAAGGGCCATGGGAACCTGGAGTTATGGATAAAGAAATACACATTCATTCTATACATGAACATGTACCTGAAATAGGGTTTGAGCTTGGGTGGACCTGTGTGGAGCCAGGAGCTGGATTCGGTGATCGTTTGGTCCCTCCCAGCATGGGATATTCCATGGTTCTCTGCTGAAATCCACGTGGATGATCTTCCAGTGGCAGGACCAAGCGCAGGCCCAGTGCCGCGAGCAGCAGGGTAGCAAGGCATAATTATTGTTTACTTATAATCAGCATCTTTCTGCGCCAGCAATCACGGCAGGCTGAAACCAAGCAGGAGAAGCAGGAGCCCCGCTGCTTTCGGCTGTCTGGAGCAATAATTGTGCAGTGCCACAGCACCTCTGGGAGTCTGGCACCATCCATCCCCGCTGGTGACTGCCACACAGCCCGGCCCCAGCACGTCTCTGTACAAAAGGTGGAGAAATATAATGGTCTACTATTGCTCTGCCTTTGGAAAGTGGGGCTGATGGCTTAATTGAGGTTAAAACAAGCTCCAATCAGAGGGGTAAAAACCTAACGGTGCTACTTAATCTCATATAAATACAAGAGAGACACAAGTGCATGACGAGAGAATAATGACTGACTCTGGTAGGGTTTCTATGGAGAGCAGCCATTAGCCAGGCAGCCAACAGACTGGGCTGGAGCAGGCTGCTTAGCATTCATGCCTGGCAGTGCAGGCCATGATCTGGAGCCTGATTTGAATTTTAGGGCTGGATTTTAAAAAAAATCCTGGTCTGGAGCAAAGCATGGCCACGCTCATCTCTTTTGCCTGAGTCTGTGGGCAGACCTTTGCCCCACTGTGGGCAGCAACCTGCCTGGGACAAGGGGCTGGAACAGAAAGGCCTTTAAGGTCTCTTGCAGTGCAAACCATCCTACCACTCTGATTCCACAACTCTGTGAGCTATAGCAGCTGCCAGCAGGAAGGGATGAGGCTGGCATGGGGAGCATCATAAGTCCAAGGGGAAGCAGGGAGCTTGCTGCAGCTTGTCTCACAGGTGAACACCAAAGGCTCAGCCTTAAGGGAAGTGCAACTGCCATCACCTCAGCTCACTCTGGTCAGCACACTGCAGGACAGCCAGGGGCAGATTTAAAGGATTGGGCTTGCTCAGTCTGAAGAAAGGAAAACAGAAACACGGAAACCTTTAATAGCTTCATAGGCTGCTATTGGGTGTGCAGAGATGAACGGGGAAATGGCTGTATGTGTGCACTGTGTGGAATGGACAGAATAGGGAAAAGATGAAAGCAAATTGCAGGCACAATTGCTCAGATGTGCAAGAAGAAAAGCTTCCTAAATGAGAAAAGAGTTATGTGCTAGAAAGGTTGTCTGCGAGTTTATACCCCCTCTGCCAAGAGGGTCTGCAGAAGCAGAACAAACCACTACTGGGATGCGGCAGCGCTGGGTTGCCCAGTAACACGGGCAATGCTGACTTGTGGAGCAGGGCAGGTGCGGCACAGAGGGAGGCACACTGAATGCCAGGGCTGTGCAACTCAGCAGACATAGCGGAGGAAAGGGAAAGCTGAGTGGCAGTGGCACCCAGGTAAGGACAAGGCAAAGTCGAGGCAGACTGCAGGAGGGTTGAGGCAGGTCTTGCTGCTGAGTCCAGGGCAGCAGCACACCAACTAGCAGGGCACGAAAGGAGGTACTCAGCTTCCAGTGCTTGGTGCAAAACATGAAAGCCTTTCCTTACAGAACTTACTGCTATAGAGGACAGCTGTTTCTTTTGCACTATCAATAAAGAAGAAAAAAAAAAAAGGAAAAAAAGAAAACTACCCCTGCTCCTGGCAGCCTGGCTCCCTCCCAGCTCTGCCTGTGCTCCGGCAGATTTTCTAAGCAACAGTCCCTCTGCTGTCCCAGCTGTCCGTCACACCTGCTTTGTCCTGTTGCCTGCCCTGCTTTGCATTTGCCCATTCCCACACTCGGGACCTGCTCTCCCTTTCCCTGTGAGTGACAACTGAGTGCAGTAAGCCGCAAGATTCAGTAGCCCCAGTGCTATCCTATAACTGTTCCCATTTGCCGCTCTGTGTGTGCTGAACACAACGTAAATTTCTTCTTTTGAAAGAGAGCAGCAGCTAAGTACCTTAACAAACAGTGCATCTGGGGAAGTCCGAGGAAACTCTAATATTAGAGCTGCCATTTAAGTCTCAAGGAAATAAAAAGGACCAGGAGGCCAACTCCCTCTGCACGTCTTTCATGTTGGTTTGCTACACAGCGTGATCTTGTTTTACAAGTGCTCTGTTTACAAGAATGCTATGGAAAAAAAAAATTCATTTAAGTCACACAATCACATAGGGCTACTTTTGAGAAAGGGCCGATCCAGCCCTACCAGCTGCTGGCCCACAGAACTTGGCAATTGTGAAGGCTAATTAAGATTCCTCAGAGCTGCTCTCCGCTCCTCATCAGACATGCTGAGCCTCCCCCCGCGCCCCAGCAGAATGGGCGCTGCGCGGCCCGCTCATGAATTCACCGATTGATTCTGAAAATATCATTACTTCGGGGCTAAATAAAGCCGTCCCCTTTAAGAGGAAAATACCAGTGCTCTGCATAAGAATGAAGCAACGGTACAGCACCCACAGCCTGCCTTCTCTCTTATGCTGCCAGAACCGAGGATTGCCAGAGGGTTCGGTGCACAGGGAAGCCGTGCGGCTGTCTGTGAGGGGGGTGTCAGCAGTAAGCACTGAGGGGACCAACTTACACACATCTTTGATTGAAAAACAGTCCATTCAACATGAAACGACCACGTATTTGTCTTTTTGTGTGCTCACCTCTAGTTTTAAAGAGAAGAAACTCCTTCCTGGTATGGATCAAGGCTGAGAGTGGCTGGGTACCACCACCATGTAGCTGAACTGCAGAGGCATGCAGCTGTTACTGCAACATGACTTGAACTGGCAGCAAAGCATGAGACCTCCAGTCCCTTTGTGATTGCAAAGGTTTATATTGCTGTAAAACAGGTTTTATGCTAGAATCCTATCTGCTTCATATATTCCTCAGTTCAGGCTCTGTTTCATCTAACACAAATTGCTTTCCCTCCCCACATTTGTCCAGAACTCTGGGTTTGATTTTTACAGGAAATAACAGCTAACTGTGGGAAGGAGACAACACAGTTCAGGTAGTGAGGAATCCCAGCGTGCTGCCATGCAGTATCTCAAGCACACCCTCAGCTCGGGCAGCCACCTCTTCCTGAACAGGCACTGTTTAGCTGCACCACTGTCAGTTAAGGAGTACTTTCCCAAATGAGACAATTAAAACTCAAAACAATTTCATTGCACGAAACCATACTACGTGTTGTAATAACAAAATGCTTTATTCTCTGGGAATACAAGGAAAAATGTGATGTTCATCCTGGTTATCAAATGGTTCTAAGGAGGAATTATTTCTCTGAATACAGAAACACTCATACAGCTTATCTATCTCCTTTAGCGATGGGAATTCTTTATTTTACAGCTGAAGTTGGGATTTCAACAATCTACAACAACAGATTTCAACTTTGCTTGTATTCTCTGGTAGATGGGGCACGTCTGCCACTCAGCACTGCTCTTGTTTGAAAGCCTAACAGAAGGCTGAAAAGACAACACAGATGTAGTTATCACAATTCTCACCCAGGTTGCTTTGCAACAAACCACAAGACTTCACCATTACCACAACAAAACAGTGAGAAAGCCACAAGGTAAGTTGCTTTCTCCTTTATCTATGAAGACTTCTTGTTCAAGCTTTATGCTTGTGAAATTCTCATACCATTCATCTGCCTACATCTCAGTACTTCTCCACACATTCCCTTTGCAGGAATCTGGAACTCCATCGTGAGAAGGATACAGCAGGTTAAAAGTGAAAGTGAGTTATTTCCCAATGTATCTGCTACTTGTAAGTTAGGTTGAGAGCTGAGATGTTTAAAAGACTGCAGACTTATATCCATAAATTACTTCTGTCTTCGACAAATCTTAAAGTAAGTGTTTAGCTTGTTAAAGAAAGGGGAACGGAGGTTCCTAAAATTGTCAGGTTATTATGTAAGCTTTCATCTCTTAATGTGGCACAACAACTCCTTGCTGCAAGCAGTATCCATGCTAAGCAACAAGACGTGTCAGTCTTACTGTGTGAAGGGGGTTCACGTTGTCTGAAGCGGGAATGGCAAACTCCAAAATAACTAATGGTTTTCTTTATTCAGGTTAGACATAACAAATTTCAGATACAGCAGTTAGTCTAGAAAAATACATTTAAAAAAATCTGCAGCAGACCGTGCTCCCTGTAACAAAATCTTTCAAAACCAATTTTACAAATTATTCTACATTAATGTAAAAAGAAACTCTTAAATTTAGCATCATGGATTCCATCAAACCTCTCTCTATCAGAACATGAGTTTCACTTTTTGTAGATGTTAGAATTTGTAATATATTTTTCTAATGTATCCTGTACATATTAAATAACCTGAAAGGCTCCTCTTGTAGTGCATTAATTTAGCAAGCACACTCAGTATTTTTCCAGTACCATTCGCATTACAGTTATTTGCCCGCAAACGTAATTAATATCTAAAAGTGCACAGTTAGGCCCCCCCTCCCTTTCCATAACCTGTTTCAATGCTGAAACCCAGACATAGACTGGAAACGTTATGCTACTGCAGCTACTCTACCCATCATTAGAAATGTGTGACTAGAACGTTCTTAAACTATACAAGAACTGAATTATATACAAGAACCAAAAGGACAGTCTGTATTTACATAAGAAACTTCCACTACCACAGCATTATACCAAGAACTCAAAACAGTGTTACAGTCGGTATTTACTTAGGTTTTAGCTGTAAATCAGTATAACACAAAACCTAGCTCAGGAAACACCCTGAAAAAATGAACATATGTATCAAATATGACTTTGTTATGCCACAAGACAAATATCCATTGCTGGATAACTTACAAGTTCAGTGTTTGCAATAGTATGCTGTTCTATAAAGCAACTAAAAAGTTCCAGAAAGGTCGCTGGGGGAAAAAAAGAGAAAAAAATGAAAAAGGACAGCAGATGTCATGTGAGGAATTAGACCTGAATAACTGAACCAAACTGTTAGCTTAAGACAGTCACTGCATGCAGAAACCCCTCGGAAAAGCATCATACTGACCTGCATAGCGTGCTTTCTTGTAATACACATGCCTAAGATGGAACTTCACTGATTATTTTTTCACAGAACTTTTCCATACCAAGTGGGAATATTTTAAGGTTAAATTCCAGATTATCCAGTTTAAGATTAAGAGCTTTACTCTCCAAGAAATCCAGTGTATGAACCTATACTGTAACTTTCAAATGCTACTGTAAAAAAAAAAAAAAAAAAAAGGCAAACTATAAACTTTTAAATTCACTTTTTTACAATGAATTTTTCAAAGAAATCCAGACAAGGAAAGTGTTGTCTCTAATTTGCATTAAAGTGGTAAAACACTTCTCCTGTTTTTCCCCTCCCCCAAAAGTGCAAAAATCAAGTTGCTTCTTGGTCCACAAACATAATACATCATATACAGTGAGAGATTTTCCTCCTGATGGAATACTGCTTCCAACCCATCACTTCCACTTCCAGTTTCCACTCCATGAAAATGTCAGCGTCCAAAGATAGCATTCAATTCCAGTAGAATTAATTCTACAATCTGGTTCTGGTACACTGTATGGACTGCTATGTTACCAGTCTCTTTCTCCGGTTTTAATAAGGTTGGACCAAAAACTATTGCTACGCTCTGATAGGTCATTCGGTTCTTTTCTCCATTTTCTACAACTCTGAAAGGGAGAAAAATAAACACAAAGAAGATGTATCAGTGCTAGAGTAATGGGGTGACAGAAAAGAAGTCCAAAGCAAATGACTATTCATTATATTTAATGACTACTAGTCTTGTTATTAGCACAAAGCTGCTGCCATTCCCTTCTCTACAAAAAAAGTTTTGTTCTGTGATACTATTCTTGAAATCCTCCCACTTTCTTTAACATAAGACAGTAAGCATCACAATAATGCCACATACCGTCCTCTTGATGCTCTGCAAGCTTGTATAAATATAGACTGATACATTGCTTTTATCAAGTGCAATATACACAAGAAAAGCACAGTGGGCACTGCCACCTCCTTTTTTTTTTTTAACTTGATTATTTAGCTCTAAGGGAGTATTGGCAATATAAAGCCTTTCACTCTGATTCTTACCTCTTCAGGTGTCTGAAGAGTACTTGCATAGTGTCCTGATTTGGTTTTGGCAACTGCTTGATTAGATCTTTAACAGCGTTGACACGCTGTCTTGGTTCTTGCTCTGCAGAAGGAAGAAGTGTAGAAACAAAACCTCAGTAATTCTGTACAAACCTTCATGATAAAAATTAACAGGCTGGGGCTAAAAGCTTTGATTTCACAGGGCTGATACCAGAGAGTATGCTGCCACCTCCTGGGCAGCCTGTATATTGCTGACAGAATTTCAGGTAAGCCTTGCAAACATTTATAACCAAAACATTCTACAATAACCAAATTGCTCCTATTGAGCAGGAGCAGAACTTCTATCAAAAGCACAGAACTGCTTTCCATACTTACTAATCGCATTGACAAAGTCATTGAAGTGGTTATAAGTGAACAGTGGCTCTGGCAGTTCTCTGAAAAACATCTTTAGAGCTCCTGTGATGACATGTATATCTTCCCATTTACTGTCATTCAAGTCAAGTTTCTCATCTGAGAGAGAAAAATGAATAGTTCATGTTAATAATTTAACTATAAAGGCCTAGTTAAAAAATGTTAACTCCTTTTCTTTCCCTGTTTATTGCTTTTAAGATATGGAAGACGGTATCCTGCTTCAGCCTCTTCACTGCTGCGTACAGAGCTGCAACAGTGTGAAACCTTTTACATTTATAGGTGGCTGGGAGAATACTTTTCAAATACTGAGATGCTCATAAGGCTGCATTACAGCAACGTTGCATGTTCTCTTCAAAGGGCTAAAACACTGTCAACAATCCAGCCCTTGGGAGAGCTGCAGCAATGCAAAGTGTCCCAAACTACTCCGAAAGGAACCAACAAGATGAAATTCAACAGTAATTCCACCTCAACCTGGAAGCAGGTTCTCTTCAGAACTGTATGGAAAGAGGCAGTCAGTCTCTGCCTACTGCACTACATGCAGCTGTCCTACCAAGGAGGCTTTCCAGAGAAGAATCCCAACTCTGGAGGTAACACGGAATTTACTTTTAGACCTGATTAATCAGGAAATGACTGAAATGAATGAAATGACAAATCATAGTGTTCAGATGAGCCACTGTTCATCTTCCCAGCTGCAGGCTACCTATTGATTCCCCCTGAACCAAACACTATAGTACAGATACATAAAGAGGTTTTATACACAAGTGTACTGTCAAGCTAACAATCCCCATATTAATCTTGCTAAAAACCATTAACTTACAAGTTTAACACTAGTAGAAGCTTGGTATTTTGTTTTCCCATAAAGGTATGCAGTTTGGGGTTCTTTAGCCATTTTTTCCCTCTTGAATTCTATTACCACCTTTCTTCAGAAAAATGCTCTAGCAATACCTCCATGTAAGACCAAACCTCCAGGCTGTTAGGGTGGTGGTTTTTTGTTTATTTTGATAGGGTTTGGTGGTTTCATTGTTTTGTGTGTGTGGTTTTTTTACACACTAAATTCTGCAATTTTGAAGTAACCTTAAGGACGGCAATCGTTTCTCAGGAAAAGCTGCAGTTACACAGTAAGAAATCATTTCTCATGAGTTCTCTACAAACTTCAAGCAATCTGAAAAGCTAAGCAATTGTAATGTAGTTGATGAAAACTTACCATGATTGACTGCAAATCTTAGCTTCTGTATCACTGCAAGATTACCACTAACTCGGTATAAGCCATCAACATCTAATCCTAAAATAAAGGGATAAACCAATTTTAATCTTTCATGCATACAGATTCTGAAGTCACTAGGCGCCTTGCTCACAGGTCTACTCTGTAAAATCAAAACCTAAAGCAGCCCAGTTAATCTTGTGCTAACGATCACTTGGTTCGGCAATAAATATTTCTCTAGATTTTTTTGATGGGCAGGGCACATCAGAGAAGGTTTAGTTTGCTGAAAAAGGTTTTGTAGTATCAAGCTCAAAGTAATCTTTAAAGCTTCCTAGGCAGAAGAATAGTAGTAAATGAGGTAATGGCTTCAAGTTTTCCCAGTAAGACTGGAGATACCATTTAAAATGCTTTTAGTGGGTGGAGGGAGGGATATATGCAGAGTCCAACATGCAAGAACCAAGTATTTTGTGGATGTTCCATTTTTTAATTTATGGTTAAGAAATATCAAGTCAGACATAAGAGAGCATCTCAAATTTGTCAAGTGACCAGGTTTGCTAGAAGGAACAACGTGCCTGCATACTCACTATCCAACATCCTTTAGAAGTAAACAAGTAGCCCTTGCTTTTACAGTACTGTAACACTCATCCAGGAAAAGAAGAAAACTGTCTCTGTGGTTGTTACTGCAATTAGTCAAAATTGATTAGCAGGTAAAGAATTAAATTGAAATGCCATTTGAATACAGCGAATGAGTCAGTGCCCCTGAGAGGGTGAGCGTTGCCAGAATACCTTCAGTCCCTGTAGCTCATAGAGTAATCTGATGCAATACAGCACAGTTACCAGCACCATCTGACATATCCCTTTTCCCCATAATCCCTTAGCCATTCCTTTACAAAAAGAATAGATTTGATGTGTGTTGGAAGGAAGAAGAGTTGAAGTAGGAAAAAAAGCTGCTCATTTCTATCAGCTTTCCCTCAGGTATTTAAAAAGGGAGAGCTTCACCACCATCTTCACTGGAGTGCTGTCTTAAAATATAAAAAATTAGAAAAAAAGGAAAAATAGCCCCTCTCTATCAAACTGTGGACCTCAAATGGGAATGAAGCCTGCTGTTACAAACAAGGTGGCAGTTTGTTCAGTTTGTTGACCTACAGTATCACAATGGAAGCAGTTAATTTTTCCCTTCCAGGACACAAGGCAACAGCACTAAGAAAGAAGACAACATGCTGCAAAAAAACCTAAGAAGTTTCCATGGAAAATACCTTAAAATTCACTTCTGGTATTCCCTTGTAAACACCCTGATCTCAAGATTATATTCTCAAATTAAGAGACCATCTGAGCAATGGCAGGAGACAAGCAGGAAGCCCAACCTACAGTACAGACAAGTCAGGAATTACAACCAAGAAATTTCCAACAAAAAATTGCATAAATCCTTGGTATCAGACAGCCCACAGCGTCACATGTAACTTCTGAAAGTCTCTCTTCACCTGCAGCAAAACTTTGATGAGATAAGCTCTTCTATGACTTCTTGTAATTTCTCCTCCTTTAGACCCTTACTGCCAAAAAGCTGTTGAGCATTTTCCTCACTTGAAAGATACTGAAGTAGATCAATTCCTCTGATGTAAGATTTCCTTCCCTCTCCCCAGACTGGATTCCACCTACCTTCCCACTCTCAAAAACTCATTACCTACAGACACGTCAGATTATTTTCTCTAACAAATCAACAGCACATTAAGGATTAAAACATTCAAAATTAGACAGTGTGATGAGCAAGAGGGATTTAAAGACAAACAAAAAATTCACCCTACCATGTTCCTCAACATGCTCAATGCACAGCTTCACGAACTTTGGCACCGTGCTGTTTTCTCTTTGACACAAGCTGGTGAGATTGGAACCAAACACTTGATCTGGAACCAAGTAAAGAGACTGATTTACAGTGGAACAGGACTCGAGTGACAGAACTAGTTCAGGTTAAAACAAACCTCTATAAAGAGCAAAAAGTACTGGATACAATTGTTGCATTATTAGAGTGAAAGGGAGTAAAGTTCTGAAAAGAGTTCTCAACAGCTCCCAGAAAGAAAAAGTGTCAGCAGTCACCCAAACATGAGTCTTGGAGGGAGGAACTTTTGGTACTGAAATCATTTTAATCCATCAGAACAAAACTTAGAAGAATCATACAGTCATTACTGCAGTGAGAAATTTAATGGATTCAAATGTTCTGTTGTATTTTGAACTCCAGAGAGGAATGAAGTACATTTACCATAATCTTTGATTAAAAAAAAAATCTGAACAGAAAAATTTTAACTCCAATGAAAGCATTCAGGGAGAAAAAAAAAATGTTATTCTCCATTACACCTACTGTTTAATCCAGCATTACATATTCATTTACAGAGAAAGGTTTCAATATAGAGCTTAATTTCTAACACGTTTAAGTTCTGAAACAACTACATAAAAGACAGACCTTTACACAGCTCTGACTGTATGTGTGACTACACATAGGCAACATGGCCGCAAGGTTGCAATTCAAATACAAGTACTTATGGACAATGTCCATCTTTTCAGATACTTTGTGTCTTGTCCTCAAAATTACACAAAAGGCAGTGGGAGTGTTCTCTGTCATAACATAAAGCAAAAATGAAAATCAGCTTTGGCAGAGAACATGTTGTAAAGTCTTAGTGTGTTTCACCGACACGTTAATTCCTCTTGTTCAGATCAGATGGTAGCACTGAAACGTTCCCCAGACTCATGGTTTCATGCCCAAGTAACAGATGACATCCCAAGTTCAGATGCATTGAGACTGAAACAGGGTCTTGAAATAGAGAAGCAAAGCTCAGACTCAAAAGGAAGAAAGTTTTATTTTATCTTTTAAAAGGCAGCATGTAAGTGACCATCTTTGCAGTATTTAATACATTTTACTTCAGAGCTTATGCAAGAGAGAAACTGCTCTTGCATTTGAACCATGCATAGCATCTAGCCCATTTTTCATGTTTAGTAACAACATTTGCATTTGATAACTGCTTTGGGAAATCCAAACAGCACACCAAACCAATTATACAGTAAGAAAACTGGTATTATTAGCTGTATGCATAAAGGCCAGTGCCCCAAAACATCTCATTCCTGCTGCTCCTACTCACACAGCCAGCTGTATAAGCAGAATCAGTAGTAGCAAAAGGTTGAAAAAGGCCACGCAGCAGAAAGGCAGACTTAGCAAGCAGCTGTAGCAGGTAAAACAATGCAGATTAGATAGGACAAGAAAATACTATGTTACTATGTAACAAAATTATTTGCTGCAACTGCTTCTGACCATAACAATTTCCACACACAGGAGAACCGTATTTGTTTCCCCAATTTTAAAGCAGCTTTTGTAATTCTGTTTTTCCATGTAAAAAATGTTTAGCACAGCCACTTCTCAGTTTGATGCATGCTGTTTCAAGGGTGTTTTATAAAAATTTTTCATTTTCTCAACTCGTATTCCATTTGCCAAGCTTTCATTTACTAAGCTTAATAGCAGCCACAAAGTACACTGGGCTTCAGATAAACTTCTGTATTTTTCACTCATACAGTAAATGTAAAACTGTACAGTACAGATCCAACTTTTAAAGTTTACGTCATGCTTTTAAATAAAAACAAACTCTTTGTTCCTTAGTGTCTTTATTTAAAAATCCAATCATCAGCATGCACGTGTACAAATTAAACTTGGCTTAGCATTTACTGTTGCTCATGTCAGAAGTTACGTCATTGAGAATTCACATGAATTCTAAGCTGCAAAGCAGGGCAAAACATCAAAGTCTGGAAAAAATGCCTTCTTACTTCAAACAAAAAATTCATAACTTACAGTTAAATTATATTTGCAGATACACAAATATATCAAATGCTACATGCAATAGAAGCACATCTGTTAAAGTATGCAGTTAGGCAAATCACAGTCAGATTTGGTCTGATATTTGCCTACCCATCTGCTATTTTGACCCTAGTAGAGCACCACCTACGAGTCCAGCTAAAGCACACAAACAAATTAAGTTTTACAGTGAGTACCAGGATTTACCAAAAAGAAATTTACACAATCACATTAATTTAGACCTGTGCAAAAACTGTTCTCTTTCAGAGTTTCTACAAATGTGATAGATGGAAGTATATATTAAGCTATCAATCATTTCATAAGTTGGATCCAATAATATCTGTAAACTCATTCTTTGTGAAAAAAAACTCCAAAAAAATGTATACATTAAAAAAAAAAAGGTTAGGGAAAAAGGATGTTGGAGTTGAGATTCCTTTAGCCTCATCCTTTTTCTGCTTAAACATTTCATTTCTAAAGAGATGGCACATACTTCTCTGGTTCTATCCAGACTAAAAACACCCCTGTAAAACATGAGCATGTATTCAGCTCTGTAACAAAAGGACAATCTTCCTTTCCCTTGTTTGCACAAACGATTATTTGGCTATACAAAATTCCCAGCTCAGAGCAGCAGACCAAATGCACTTTCTAGCTCAGAAGCGCTGAGTCCGTGGAGGCTCCTGGGCTCTCATTTTCCACTTCAGTTTTGCCAATAATGGGATGAAATTGCTCAGAAGACTCAGAAGAACAACAAACAATCACCAGTTTCACTATCCAAGACTTGTTAGGCAAGCTACATTCATGTTTCACTCTAAAACTAGACAACATGAACCCCATTTTACACGTGAATTATCAAATTCAGTTTCTCAAATTATTTCCTTTGTTAAAAAGGTTCATTTACCCTTAATGTAGCCTTTTTCACGGACAGCTTGTAACGTAGGTCGTCGTGTGAGAAACTTCTTGAGCTTCGTTTTGGTCTTTTTCTGATCTGTGGCATCTATATTGCCAGGTATTTTCACCGCTGGAAATAAAAATACGCTTAATATGAATATTTACAAAAACAACTTTTTTTTTTTAACATTGGTTCCTTGGAAAAGAAATTCGACAGCAAATACAGAGCACAAAAAAAAAAAAAAAAAAGATAAACTATTCAAATTCACATTGCATCCACATTCTTTTTTTTTTTTTTTTTAATTTCTTGTACATAGCATCCATTTTTCAAACTGCCAAGATGCTGTCACCAAGTGCTGTCTGTGAAAATAACTAAATAGTAACTTAAAATAAACATGGAATTTAAAACACAGCTATGTTTCAAAACTAGCCCTGACTCTCACCAACCATTTTAAATGAAATAAATACTTCCTTACAATTTACATACAGCCCAGAAGTAAAGGACAAAACAAACTGCCTCATTAATATATTTCTTTGCAAAGAAAAATTTCTGTGGCTAGAAGAAATTTCTTCCAAATTCTGAAAGTGTGATTAAAAGTGTTTCATTTCTGTAAGTGATCCAATATAGGGTTAGCAACTAGTGAAACTGATGTGTAAGTTAACAGTGAAAATATTTACAGATGCTGTACCATGGACAAAAAAGTAAAACTATCCAAATCTGTTTTGAACAAGGACAAAGAGATTCTTATTGAAAACAATTTATGTCAGAGAAAACATCCAATTAGTTCTATACATTTGACAAAAGTGAGTATACCTTGAGAATAGATTATTTCTGTACTGCCTGTTTTCTCCTACTTTTTAAGTATGATTAGGAAAACACAGATAAAAGTCAGTAACTGGCACCAAATGGAAAACGTCCTCTTGAATTCTTTTCTCTTTACACACGAGTGAAGACGAGGGGTTTTTTTTTGTTTTTTTTTTTTTTTTCAATTCCTAAAATCAATTATTGGAAAGTTTTCTACTCACAACGAAGTTTCTTAGAGTCTTTATTCTCTTTTTCTTTGTCTTGTTTTTCCACCCCAGGAGAATCTGGTACCTCATCTTCTAATGCTTCATCAGATTCTACTACCTATTACATTTAAGAAGATAAAGGTAAGTTTACCAATTCACAGAATATACCATTAAAAAATGCATTGCATGAAGACTGCTCTACAATATACTTTTATTTTCCCTTTCACTTAATTCTTTCCAGAATTCTAGATGCTAAAATTATCTTCAGAGATGATACCACTCTTGCTGGCAGTAAGTTTGAGAAGTATTTGGTCATAAGACCCAATACAGACAAAAACTTAATTACAACAACTTTTTTCTTCCTCCCAAATTCAGAAGACATCAGCTGTTTCATTCACATGATATGCAACAGAAGCACCTGACTGATACAGTCAAAATCAATTTCTACAACATTTATCCTGTTTCTAATCTCCTAGTGTAAGTTTTCTGTGATAGAAACAGACTGTCAGTTGGAGAATTAGACCTCTGCCAAAGTACACGCTGAATTCAGTCCAACAGAGTAACTATAGCAGGGTCCAAAAGCCTTGCTCTTTGGATTAATGTTCTTTCAGCATATTCTCAAAAAGAATAAAAAACCCACAGTTAAATGGAAATGCAAATCATGCTGCTGTATGATGGCAGATGCTGAAGTTTAAGAAATTGTTTGCTGCCTCACACCTACGTTGCATTCCATCAGAAAATAAGAAGAAAGCTTCCTTTGGTCTCAATACATAACGTCAGTTAATTTGCACTTTAACTTGCACAGCAGACGTGAGCTTTAAACAATCCTCATTCCTTACTGTTTTTCAAAAGCTTCATCTAGACTTTAAAACATCAACAGTCAATATATTCAAACATTCAATTAATGTTCCTGCCAAGGATCCAACTGCCACTGACATCATGTGAACAGGATTCTCTTCCTCAAAGCTTCTCAGGATTGTTAAATTTCTAATCTCCTAGGTTTGAATATCTCACTTAGAATTTAGGTTTGTAAAAAGGATCAAGTCTAATCTAACAACTTCAAAATTTGTGTGTGTAAAAATAGAGCAGATATCCTTCACAGATATACCTTCTATATAACATATTGACATAACAGCTCCCTGAGGGAGGTGAGAGACATGAATCTAAGCTGTAGCCTTCTTTTGGGCTTCACATCCGAGCAAGCCACAGCCATCATGGGAGAACATTCACAGCTACTATTACAATAGAGGGTTTTTCTTCAAACTTAAGTTTGCCTCAGGTCTGATTGATTTTTGTATCCGAAACTTTCAGTGTTTCAAATTATCAGATGGTCAAGATAAGGTATATTTTTCCCTGTGCAGCATTGGGTCTCTCGGCTTTTGATTCGCACTTTAATTTAGTGTGAAGGGAACAGCAATAGCAGATGCTAAAGCAAGCATTCTTTTGTTGGTCGCCCTCCCTTTCACTCCCTCTTTTCTTGAGAGAAAAAAGCAGCTCATTTCTGAGGAGATGAGTCCATACCTCCTGGTTCTTAATCCAGTGGATCACTGCTCCTTCCTTGGTACAATTTAATTTTATTTCTTATCACTGGGAATCGTCATACCCCCACAGCCCATTCCCAAGAAAATGGCAAAATGAAGATGTATATGAACTACTTGGAGTAATTACATAAATTTTGCTAAAAAAATACTACCTTGAAATCAGAGCCTCCATGATTCAAATACCTACCTGATTGTTGATGGTATAGTTAAGGACTTTATACCATTCATTAATGAAGCTGTCATTATCAGACTGAATTAAGAGCTCAGTTCCCTGGCGGGTTTTTAGCTTTAAAGAAACAAAAACAGATGTCATCAGAACTGATAAACATACTAGAACTCCAAGATCAAATTACATGAAGTTAAACTTGTCTCTGGCACAACTTTCAGATGATAAATAACTACTCTAAAATCAATAAAAGCACAAAGTAAGTCATCTTAAAATTGAAAAGTATATCCTGTACAAATATATTAAGAATGGATATCTCTTGCAGGTACATAAACGTATGATTTAAAGAGAAGAAATGCAAAAAACCTGAACTAAGTTTAGAGATAATTTTTGAAGTTGCTTGAAATGCTTACAGTTTTGCATTTAAGTAAAATATTTTACCTCAATAACATTCTTTTTGCTGGATTTGTCCTTTGAAGCCCAGTCAATCAATGCCCCTTTGAGATCCACTGTGAATTCTGGCTTGGACTGATTCACACCAAACTTCTGGAAAAAAAAGGAACAATGATGACGAACTTTTAAAAAAATACAAATAACAAAAGCTTCCAAGATATATAGACTTGCAATTCCTAAATGTAACACACTATCATTTGATTCACAGCCTACACTATTTAAAGCAAACACAGTATCCTGCCACAAATAAACTAACCTAATACCAGGAAAACTGAAACAAAAAAAAGCACCAAAAACTCTTTATTCATGCCTATTATGAACTGCTCAGCCTACAGATTTTAAAATTCCAGTAGTTTTAAATTCTGATCAGATTTCAGCAGACTTGTTCCTATTGAAAGTGGTAGAAGTCTATAGAGAATTTGATCATAGCTTGATTCTTGTCGAAAGTCTCAAGTGTCTTCAGTTTTTACATTCTCAGAACAAAATTTCTTTTTAAATGATCCCAATGACACTTTCAATACTAAATCTATTCAGTATTTTCCTTTAGTGTTCCTTCAGTACGTTTCCTTTAGCATACCCTAGTAAGTAAACAGAGATCAATTTCACTGTCTAGCTTCTAAAAAACAAGTAACAAGCAAGCATTTAACCCATTATTAACCCTTCAACCAATTTGGAGGAACACAGCATGAATAAGAGCTATCTTTACTTCCTACTTTTACTATTGTGCTGTATCTTCTGGAAAGAAGATACTATTATAGTCAAGTACTTTCACCAGGGTCACAGTCTACATCCCCCAGCTTTAAAGTATAATTTCTCAAGGAAGACAATTCACAAACAAAAAGCTAATTGTTAGTAAGTTTTGTTTGTTTTTAATGTATAGAGAAAGCATTAAGTCAATTGGCTGCAGAACAAAAAATTGATGCACATTTGGGGACAGTCTGCAGCATCAAATCCATCACAAAGGTTCTTTTCAAGTTATTAAATAATAATAATAATTTAAGTATATATGTTTTGTGCTCATGTGACAACACTCAGGCTGACCCGAGCTTCAGGACAGCCTCCTTGCTGCAAACATCACAAGGCTTCCAGTCTGTACCACAACAACCACACCTGAGGTGAGAAAACACAGTTCAGAAAACAGAACTAATCTGCTGCTTCTGATTAAATTCACAGCAAGGATGTTAATTAATGCTAACTGTGTTTTAGAAAGGCTGTTTACAGCTACAAAATCTTCCTGCCTGATTCCTAAGGGCAATTAAATGATGATCAGAATGAAACAATCTAACCTGTGAAATATCAGAATGAAAGAATACTTCCAATTTACACAATGTCAACTAACATCTGAAAAAACCACCTGCTTTCTATCTTGATTCTCAGATTTCTCATCTAAGGATGTTTCTTAATAGCTTTTGGTTGAGTCCCAGCTCACAAATGGATTCACAACAACCTTAGTGCATGTTGGAAAACATTTAGGGTTTGCCACTTGAGAGAGCATGAGACGAGAGCTGAAGTCCTCTGCAAGATGAGAGATTTGTTACCAATGCCTTCCCCATGATGCTGAGCAGCAAAGGAGATGACCTGCAATGGGTGAGGTCAGTTAACAACAGCCACAGGTGTTTAGACCACAAGGAGTGGTTCCCTGCTGCCCTCTGGTATGCCCCAGCATGCAGAACTCCAGGTGGCAGCTCCCACTGCTACCTCAAACACCACTGTACTTTATCCATTTCTTTTTTTTTTTTTTTTTTTTCCTTTTTTTAAGCCTGACTACCTTCAGCACATCTGAAAAGCACAGGACAATCCCCCCAAAAAAGAAGAAAAAGAGCCAGTTATTGCTAATGGTGGGGGGGGAACAGCCAAGCAAACACTCTAAGCCTCTCTACAAAGCACCTCTGATATACCTGCGTATCACAGACTCATCACAAACTTAGAATTTCCTTGAAGAAAGAAGTTTAACCTTCAGTCTCTCCTATGAGCTTCCCTGCCACAGTTGTTATCTGTTCCTGCATGTGTGGAGATGAGAGGCCAGCCACCATTTTCCTCCTCAAAAGCTTCCAGGAGCAAACCCTGTGCAAGGCTGCAGAGATGCTCAGCTTACAAGGGTTAGCTAGAGGCAACTGAATCCTGCTGAAGCACACAGGTTTTCTTGAGTGCAATAATAAGAAAAGTTGTCCCTTTAGCATCCTGAAAACAGAGCACACTGCTAGGTCAGCACTGGTCAAGCTACATTCAGTCCTTACTCCCAATTCTGACTGCAGTTCTCATTTTCGCTGTCAGGGAAGTGGCAGAGAACAGAAATGAAACAGGAAGAGGGAAGAGGTCTAGAACATGGTGCTGAGAAAAGCCCTAACATAGTAAGTTGTCCTAGAGTCTCTTTTGACAGATTTTTCTAGGAAAAAGAAGTAGTCATGGGACGTGTTTATGCAATTTTCAAGGCAGAGATGATTTCTCCTTTTTGGAAAGCGTAACGACTTATTTTTTTCATTCAGACGCAGATGCTGAGTTGCATAAGGACTACCTTGGAGATACGTGCTGACATCAGAATCACACTTTTCCTTGTTTTCAGGAGTTGTCTCCACATCATGGGAGCACGCATAGGACAAACCACGCAGCCTGTAGTGGGATATATTTCAGCTTTTTTTTGGAAACTGAACTGGCTATTATGTATAGGAAGACATTGGGAAACACAAATGACATCAGCCAGTCTCATAATTCTGTTCCTAATCAGTTTCATAGAACTTTCTAATTCCACGTCTTCTTCAGAAATATTGCCAAGGGACAGATGCTTCTTTGTGACTGGTAACAGAACTTCAGAACTTACAGCTTGGACAAGACAAAGGAAAAACACGAAGACATTCTATTTTACCATAGCAGAATTAGAGAGCTTTTCTGAAATCTACTGGAAGTATTTACATTTCAAACATTTCTCATTATTATCAGCTGAGCCCTGTATACTCAGCTGTGCAATACTGATGAACTATGGCAGTGTACATACAGCACTCTTGTACGCTGTAAGGAGTGCTATGATACAGTAAACAGAGCTTGCCCACATGAACTGTGAAGAGAACTTATTTCCTAGATCTTTCAGTGGGAAGTTTACTCACTTCTGGTCAGCACACCCAACACTGAAGAAATGCAGCTATTACATAAGGTTGACAAACAAATCCTTCAAGCAATTACTATTTGCTGCAGTTGTTTTTCTTTTTGAAGCCCCATCACTAATATCCATCAGTAGCTATTACATCTCATCCACAACAAAAGAGAAAAGCTTTCAACATACTGAAAGAATTGAAAGAGATGAATGAAATCCACTATTTCCCTTACAGGAAACAGCATTTTAAAGAATATAGTAATGCATAAAAATTACGTGGCTTCCACATACACAGGTTCATTGGACAGAAATAAAAAAAGCTGCATCATTTTTAGCACTAGTTTAAGTGAAAAAGCCTACAGTTACTGCCTCCTTACAAAAAATAATAATAATAGAGTCATGGTAATCAAGAAGTCTCACATTTTCAAGGATCTTAACAGAATCCAAAATATTTAGCACTCTCTCCACTCTGCAGGGAACACAGGTGAGATAGCAATGTAGTTATAGTGACCACCAGATTATAGTCCTCAGAAAGTCAGGAAGTGATACATTGCTTTTAATGTTATATAAGAGGTATTTATATATATTATCTTTACTGTGAAAGCTTTTGGTTGATGCTGGTTAAATTAATAATCAGCACTAAGACATTAAAAACTGCTTACATAGCCAGTCAAACCTGTTCCTTTCTTCTAACAAGAGTCTTAACTGTTTTCTTCTTTTTCACCATGAAACTACCACATTAGCTACCAACATTTTTTCAGTTTCCAATAAAGGGTACATCCAAGCTTGGCAGCTACACTTCAAAATATGACTAATACATAAGGAGTTCTACAAATTTATATCAGCTTTCTGAATGTAGAACACCATTGAGCTCTTTTTTTTTTAATGCATAACATTTACATTTTTATTTCAGTTATAGCTGAAATTAACCAATATCATGTACATCAGTGTATCAAAGTCACCACAGGAGCCTTAAAAACAGTCTGAATTAGTTCTGTTAGAAAGAATTAGACATAGTACCTGTTAAAAAGAAACAAAATGCGACCACATCATGCTGTTTATTAGGTAAGACACTAGTGGTTCAAACGTTAGACAAATCTGGGATTATAAATCAGGTGCTGATGAACCAGATGATCTTTGTTCCATTAAAACAACCACAGCATTATTGCAATACACTTTTGTTAATTTGTATCTTAAAAAAAGAAAAAACTTCGAAAAATAGCAAACAGGATACATGAGGTGTTATTTGAAGTGATAAAACTTAACAACCTTTGGAATGTTTAAATTTACTTTCAAGATTAGTGGCAAATGGCCTTAGAGTGACAAGAGGCATGCAACAAGAACACATACACTGATAGCTGAAACTTGGGCAGAGTTTACATAGGTGACAGCAGGTCGACGACTGAGAGCATTTTTCCAAGAAGAAAGCAGCGAGAGCAAGAGCTCAGGGATTGAGCCCCCTTGGCAAAATGACTTGATGAGAAAAAGGAAGAAAAGTGATGAAGTCACAAAACAAGGCACAAAAAATGATATGGTAACATCAATTACTAGACATAGCTAAAAATATATTCTTCTGTTAGATGAAGAAGTGAAGAGGAAATTCTTCTCCCATGTCACGCAGACTTGACTTTACTCAATTAAAACACTGATAAAGATTAAAGCTTTTGACAAGAGAGGTGGAATTTTTAATATCCCTCCCAAAATCTTGTGCACAAAGATGAAAAAGAGCATATGCTGAGTAAGGCAAATGTGAACATGCACACAGTTGATGCTCTCCCTTGACATTCTCAATTTAATTATAAATATGAATAGTACCAACAGAATAAAGTTATGCTTACTGTCAGTATTTAACAGTTTCATGCAGAAATATTCTTACTATATATATAGTGATCACAATACTTTTGCTGCACTTAGATTATCAAAAGAATTGGTAACTTCTTTTTTCCACTAAACAACTACTTGAAAGGTATAACACAGCTAACACTGGTCTCCCCAGCCAAGCAGAGTTACACAACTATTATTATTTTTTTTTTAAACAGATCATTCAGTCTGGCATACATTCATTAATAACTGTATCATACAATCAGGAACAGTGATATAATAAACAGTTAAAATTAATGTGCTGTGTTTTTGTTTTGCTTTTTTCCATCAATTGTTCAATTTGGATTAAGAGCATTAAAATTTTGTTAGAATAAAGAAATAATAGTATTCTTTGTGCACAGAGACCAAATATCAAACTGCATCCCTGAATGGCTGGGAATTTTCCAGTTCATGAAGTAGGATGATAAAAATGGACTTGACTGAACAATAGACCGTGACTGAAGGGCATGAAAGAAGACGAGAGTAAGTTTTAAAGCTTCCCAAATCCAAACACTTCCTGCTTTGAAACTCACCTTTTAAGATTCTCCAATATTTCTTCAATATATTTTGTCAGTGAAGTTAATGTATGAAAAAGTAGTTCACAAGTTTTTTTTTGTTATTATTATTTCTCTCACTTGTGAATAATACTAACTATATTTACCTAGCATTCCAACATTTACAGGTGGGAAAGTCAGTAACTTTCAGGTGTACATGTTTCTGTTCATTTTTCTGTGCTTGACCTCTGACGTGCGTCATACCCTCTTCCTTTTCCCACATTCAGAATGGGCAGACCTCCTTAGGTTACACAGTCCACTTTCTACAACAAACAGTGCAGTTCACCTTATCTCATACTTCTAATCCTTATTGTTTTTTCCTTCCCTACTGTTTTTCACCTGTTTGACCACCTTGTCCAACTTTACCATTTCCATTCTCTGCTACTCCCACTGTTTTTATTCAAGGAAGCTTACCCACTTTTTTGCAGCCACCCCTGCTACAGCAACAAAATGGCAGGAAAAAAAAAAAAACTCAGAGCTTTGGAAAAGAACAGTCAATATCAATTTGCTGCCCAAAAAGAACTGTAGCAACAGAAAGTGAGTCAAGTAGAAAGATCAGCAAAGCAGCATAGCTTACATTGGTAAGATGAAGTTTTGTTGGGCAAGATGCAATTTTGTTGTTATCAGTGTGACAACATCCTGGAATAACTAATTGTTTATGATCTCTCCTTAGCTATCATAGGAGATCTACATTTATTTTTAGTATCAGACTTCCATAGTAAGCAAGCCATAGGTAACAAACCATTTTTATGTTGATTCATGTAGGAATGTAGCAGAATTATAGCCAATTTAATTATGTTATAAAACCAGAAATGATATCAATATTGAAGAATCATTGTCATCATCTTAGTGTGAAATTTTTCTTTCAAAATAGATGCAAATACTTATCACACATTATGTGGATATAAAACAAAAGCTCAAAGCCATCACTAAACAGTAAGACAACAATACAATTTTTTTTTTTTTTTTTTTTTTAATTGTGCACACATATTGGTATTTAAGACCAATAAACAACAGGGCTGTAATTTGTTGTGCTTTATGATATCAATACTTAAAAGAAGGTGAGGCCTTGTTGCAGAGCTTACCCAGCCAGTTCCACTTCCTTGGGTTTTAGTGAACAGCAGTGATGAACCTTGTAATACCGCCCAGGATGACATCCAATTCTTTCTGTAAATATTTGTAAGCAAAACATAATAAATTGACTTTAAAAGCAGATACTAAAGCTGTGTTACTGCTGCTCAGCTGACTTGCATGTTAATATACTTAACCATATATATTAGTGCCATCAGTAAGTCTTAATTGCTTGTATATTTGCAGAAGTGAACATATGTTAATTGTCCCAGCCTGACCATCAAAATCTAAATCAAACAAACCTAATTAGTAGTGGGAGTAGTTCACCAGAAGGAATGCCATACAATTATAATTTCAAAAGGGCTAATCTGGAATGCTCAGCCTACTGTGTACTAAGGAGATTATGCCAAAGCACTGCATAATTCTGAAACTGACTGATCACATCTTACTGGGATGTACGTGTCCCACTTTTATGCAATAAGCTCATTTACACCAGCAACAAAATATTTGTTACACATCCAAAAAAAATACAGAAAAGGAACAAATCAGTTCTTTAGCTGTCTGACAATTTTTGTGCCAGAATATCTGCCCTGAGGTTAAAAATAAAATAAAATAGAAAGCTTTACAAGCTCTAACAATCCATTCCCACTGTCTAAACATTAATTATTATTGAACAGCTCTCAAAGTGACAGAAGGGTCACGTTGCATCCTTCTGGTAAAGCAACCCAATAATCCAGATCAATGATTCCAAACAGATTTGACCTAAGTGATGAGGGTATAGTGGAACAGCAGCAGCTTGTATGAGCCACCATCCACCTCTTCCTACTAGGCTCTTAGGAGCAGCTCTGGGGAACCAAATTGGAAATCAGATCTGCTGCCCACCTGCCCTGGACTAGGTCAGAGGGTCTCTGAAAGATCAGCTGTGTGCTAACAATTTAATCCTTAAAAAAAAATAATGCTTCATGTTTCAGAAATTTAGGAATGTTGATATGGACATATACACAATAGTAGACCTAAGAAAATCCCTTTCAAAAAATTACAGGTAAAAAAGTAAACCTAAATTAAATCGGAGGAAAAACCGCATTTAGACACTATTTGGTACTGACTCTGCAAACACTAGAATTAGGTTAGTCAGTATTAGCTGGTTTTACATTAGATTTATAATGCAGGTGCCTGCCTCTGAAGCAAAAAGAGGAAACTAAAAATGAGACTATTCATCACATACAGGTAGATTAGCAGTGATAAATATGAAATATCTTGCCCACTCATATGTACACGTACTTCTAAAGTTCAAGACCTACCGAACTTTCTTTCCATTTTCTGTAATTTTTGTCACATTCAATAATCCATACTTCTCTTGACCCTGCAAGATGGAATAAGACAAATTAAAAAGAAAATTTGCTTTTATTGCAATCACATCACTGAATTCAATCCCCTCAAACAATCAGTATCTGGCAACAAGCCATCTTTGCCAGCACTGTAACTTCAAGAAAATGCTGTAAGTATATTTAAACATGCAGCATCAGTAAAATTGAGATTTTTCATGAGAAAATATTACAGTATACCAATTACCATTAAGAAGGTAGAATGCTTTCCTTCCATAGGGCCTAGGTTCTTTAAAAGAAAAAAAAACTTAAAACTTTTGTGGTACAATACAGCAGAAATTTTAAACAAGGATATATTGATATATTGATAGTAATTTTGTGTTTAGTCTTTCATTAAAAAAGGTGATATCTGACAAACAACCTAAATTCTTTGACAGAATTCTTCCAACTCAAGTAATTGTATATTTTAAATACATCATTCCTGAACTGCTTAAAAATATTAATATATTAGTTTTCAAAACAGATGAGCAAAACATTCCATGTCCTATTTTTTCCTAACCTGAAGTGAAAGATTAGAATTTTAAGCTACTTAATTATGCACTGTGAATGAAAATCATCTGTATTTGTATGCCACTGCCCAACTTTGGAGATCAAGCAGTGAAAAGCAGAAAAAGAACAACAATGAACAAGAAGGGTACGTTTAAGTTACAAAGGGGTGAATATTTCTAGTTTCTGTGCAAGAATAAGAAAATAAGAAATATTTTTTAAAAAAATAGTGCAGGATAAAAAGGAAATAGTCAATTTGCACTATTCTCAAAATGAACAAACAAATTCTACAATCTCCAGTCACTCCAGCTTTGTCCCACCAGTTCTTGTGTTTCTCTTAACAATTCCCAATTTAATAAATAATCTATTAGTTGAAATAATCAACTAGGGAAAAGATCTATATTAGCTTTATCATAACAAAAACATCCTCAATTTAAGATCCATTGAAAATACAAGATATTTAGAGGAGAATGTTAGAGAGAACATCTCAAATTTAAGCAGACAGCAGAATAATCACAGAAGAGGAAAACTTGACTCTGATATGTGTTTATCAGAGACACAGAGCTGCATTTCATGAATCTTACACGTTTTTATTTGCATGTTTTATGTGGTTCACATTAAACAAGAGATGTGTTTTCAAGGATAGCATTTATCTGGTGATTCATATTGTTATGGTAATTGCTCGTCTTAATCTAATATCTCTACTGAGTCAGAGTGCTTTCCCAAGCCAGTGAAAATATATATTATTTTCCAAAAACAGAATCTCACTGACTGGGTAACCCATGCTCACTTTCTCAAATATTCTGTGGTATTAAAAAATTGCACATGGAACCGTTAGGAATGTTCCAAAAAAAAAAAAAAACCTACTTGGAAAGCATATCATCATGCCTTACTTAACAGCAACACTAGAGGGTACTAAGGAGAAAATTATGGTAATATTTAACTGGGGGGAAGAGAAGTCTAAATAAAACACAAAAATACAACTTCTTTTTTGTAATATTAAGTTTCAGAGACAGCTAAAGAGAACAGACTTCTTTTTCCCTATTGTTTAAAGCCAGTAGCAAGTTCTGCTACAAAATCTAATATCTCAAGATCAAACAAATGTTCACATTTAAAACTTCAACTGAGGCAAAAAAAATCTGTTTAGCATTCGTAACAAATCTTTAGCAAGTTGAAGTTTTCCTCCCATTATTCTATGAAAGCAAAAGACAAGGCTTATTTATATGAGGCTCTCAAGATTACTACATCTTTTCAAGGAGATGAAAACAAGTGAAAAATAAAGGTATCACATTGTAGGAGCTACTAGTGACTGATGAGGATGATAAGCACAGTGGATACAGAAAGTTTATTTCTGCTTGTAAACTACCAGGTTGCCAGGTATGAAGGCGTGACTTGGAGGAAAAAGTCAATCCTACATAATTTGACACAACTAAGCTACACATTCACCACTCTCACAAAGCTGTTTTTAAATCAAATATCCTTTTGTTTTGTTTTGAAAGCACAGTTGGATGCAATACATTCCTTTTATAGTGTCATTAGTTCTATCCCATTCTGTTGCCTCAACAACAAGCAAGTTTACTGACAATTATCTAATCACAAATAGCACGTTTCTACAACATCTATTTATTTAAATAATTTCCATACTGACTGTGGCTTGATGCTTCGGTGAAGAAGGAGAGGACTCATTTTCAGGAAAACTGGCCTTAGAAGAACTTGATGATTCCTATAGAATTTAAATAATCAGTATAAGTTATGGTTTCTCACAATTTTTTTTAATTAAAAAATAAAACCTTTTTCACCCCCTAAAGGCACACTTTCCAATTCCCCCCTGCTCTCACAAAAATAGGTTTGGCTGAGCATTCATGATATTCTGAAATACTTGTATCATAAACCCGCTTAACTAAACAGTCTTCTTACAATACTTACAGCCCAGTCAAACCAGATTATTAAGCATGTACCCATTTGAAAGAAAAAAGTTAATACATACTTTATCAGCTTAAAGCAAAGCTTTCATCCATATTAAGAAGCAGATTTCTTTGTATGACTGCAACCACCATTATGAAGCATGTTTGTAATACAAACATATTACAAGGCACCATGTGTAAAACAAAATTTGAAGAACAGATTATGCTTCTGTGTGGACAATCAATTTAAGACCAGCATAAAAAATAGCTATACACACAGAAAAATATATACCAGCTCTATTAACTTTTGTGAGTCATGGCAGTTAATTTCCTTATAGTAAAGGACCAAAACTTTCTAGAGATTCACATTCTTCTAAACTAGACATTAATGATGAAGCAAAAGAATATGTCTGAAAACCAGAAAAAATGCTGGAACCAAAAAGGCACGTGTGTTTCCTCTGAGTATTGACTGCTTCGCACAGAGGTACCCCATAAAAATCTGGTAAAGAATTTCAAATAGAAGAAAAACAGCATTTGGTCTCTGTTACTTCTCATGCATTTCTCCCCCATCCCCCTTTTAATTCTTTTGATAGTTCTCCCAAATTCTGTGCTTCCATTTGAACAGAAGTGTTTGTTTTTTTCCCTGCATACCTCCACTTTAAAATCCTTAACACATCTGCCTACAGAAGTGGCACTTGGACTCTACCATTACCTCTTCGACTGTTGTACTTTCAAACAATAACAACATTCTGAAGGACAGACTAAAAGTGTTCCACATTTTCAGATGTTCACAGGACAAAAATGATCAAATTCAGGAAAGCAACAGGGAGAATATTAAAAAAGTAGCTTCCCTAGGTGTCAGCTAAAAAACTAAGTTGGTGTTGGTGAAACCACCCACCCGAAAAACCAGTTGCTGTTTTTATCTTTATTTCATTCCATAGTTTTCATGCACTAAGCAGCTTTGGAAGAAGACAACTAGTACATGTGGACATTAGCTAATCCTTTATCACACACTGCCTCTAAGCAATACATGTAACAGCGTGTCTACAACTGATAATAAAATGGATGCATTGATGCACTAAACAAATGAACGGTATCCCTGTCCATCCACAACACACTCATGGTACATTTTTAATTTTCTTGAAGCATGAACATTGTGCTTTATATGAAATTACATACAGACACCTTATCAGTAGCAAATGCATGATGCCTGCTTATTTTTAAAGCTGTTAGAACTGCAGTAACTTTAAGCTACTGACTTAAGACTTTACAGATGTGGTTTATACACAATTTCTCCTGGTTACTACACTGGACATTTGTACAGTTGCACATTTGTTTCACTGGGCTTAACGTCTTGGTACTAGACTACTGGGTCTTGAAGTAAGCAGCTCCACCTCATCAATGCTTTACACGAGCATCTTCATTTGACATTGAGTCACATAAAAGCCACTCCAAAGCAAATTTAAATCTTGTTAAAAAAATCTTCCTTTAAAAGTATGGCCAAAATTTTAATTTATTGCTAACAGAAGTGTTTATACCTGTAAAACGCAAACTTTACATGAAGTTGGAGGACTCCAGCTTTGATTTTGCAGAACTCCATCTGGCCATTCAAACACAGGTGACAACACATTTGATACATAAAGATGCTTAAGAGGAACACAAAGGACAAAGAAAGGCAAAGAAACCTTGGAACTGCTAAAGCTAAATTGATGCATCTAGATGCAGAGCGGGCAGTTGTCAGCCAAGCACAATCCCTGGGTCCTCTGCACTACATGACATTCTAAACTGACAGCTCCAACACTTAAAATCAAATTAATAAATTCTATTCTGAAGAACTAAGTCAACTCATGGTAACTCACTTGCCTCCTTTTCTGCAACACTCCATTCCAACACAAACCACTGGGATATTCCAGAAGTAACATGTCAGGCATGTAGCATCCTGTGCAGTAGATCCATTTTCATTACTACTACTGTGTTTTGTCCACTTGTCTTTGGCATGGGCATGTGTAATTGCACACATACTGGTCATTCTCAATACTCCATAAATATACTGATGTATATCTACATCAGTATATATTTTGTATATTACAAAATGGAAGTTTACAAGCCAGTTTGCTGGCATCTATTGTCAGTAGCCTGTGCTAACACTTCAGCATTAAGATGCATTTCTGTTTCCATGAATCTTGGGTCAGACTACTGTGAAGTTACAAAAATCAGCAAGCCATTCACTACCCCTACAACACCAATTTCAGTTCCTCTCTGCTTACATCAGCTCTCCACATGAACTGGCAGAATGGCACAGTGCAAGTAGAAATGGCTGTAATAGAAATCAGACAAAAAAGAGACAGGCAGAGGAAGAACAACGGCGAGGCTCTGTCCCCATGTTTGCTCAATCAGCATCTGTTAGTTGATAGTCCCGAACAGACTACCAAGAACATGCCACAAAGAACGCATAGAAAACAGCTTTTGTTATTACTGACTCAGCTCTGTCCTGATTAAACTCCCAGCTCAGCTCTGGAGGCGAATTAAAACCAAGCGTTTTAGCACTTTCAGTACTGTGCTCTGCCCTTAAACAACATTATAACCCTGCTGTAATCAAGCACAACTTTTCCTCTTCGCATATTACAAAGGAGATTAGCAGAACTGTCATTAAAGGGATTAGCTCACTACATAACACCACTATTTGTATCTTTAATTTAGAATTTTTGGTTTAGTAAGCAAAAGTTTTATTTCAACTCTATGAATACTTCGGCTACTCATCTGCCATGTTTAAAGTGGATTCATGCTTAGTGTCTCCTACAACTAAAATATTCACCTAAATAATTCAACTAAAATAATAAAATATTGATATACCTGATACGGGAACCTTGCCCACATTCACAATTCTTGAATTTAAAACCTAACTACTTTCCAAAGCCTGAACTGAATTACAGGAAATTCCCAATTATAAGTAAAATGACTATAAACATCAAAGTCTGTATTAATACTAGTTAAGGCATTTCAAGGCTAACAAGAATAAAACTACCACTGACAAAGAAACAACAGCAAAATTATCAAGCAGTCCTTGGATTCTCTGAATGTTATCAAACAGTGATACAAAACATAAAAACAAGATTTCAGAAATTCAAACATGGCAGTTTCTTTTCAATACTTCATAAATCGAAAACAGTTCACATTGCAGCATGCTGTTTAACTTGCTCCTACCTTATCGTTGGTGTCCAACACAATTGTGCTGTGCCTCCATTTTGTTAAAACTATTGGTTCTTGAAGCCTCCTGTCCAGACTCCTACTCTTTATTATATCTCTTTGCTGCTGTGGTGAAGCATTATACTAAAGAAAAGAAAAATCAAACTATAAGTAGGCTCTAATTCACACAAAAAAGGCCTGCATCCTTACAGTACTTTTCAGATTCCCGATTTCATCCAGCTGTGTCAAAATAGCCTTTTTTAAATTTTGCTTTTAGTTTTCAGAACCATCCTGTCTACTGTAGTCCTCTCAACAGATAGATATTTGATATCCTGGACAAAAGCTTACTGCAACCAACTGCCATATCAAGAACTAGTATGGCATTAGAATAAATACGATTTAAACATTCAAGTCTTCATATTGCACTGACAGTAAAAAAACACCTGTCATCACATAAGATGAGGATAAACCTGCTATTCTACAATAAGCCATGCAGATTAAGAGTGTTAACTGAATATAATTCTATTTGGCTCCAAGATTTCCTATGCTTAAGAGAATAGATACTAAGAAGTGAGTGAGGACTTCCTTTTTCAGAATAACTACATCAACTACTGTTAAGGGGATTTGTTATTGTGCAACACATCTATCTGCAGAAAACAAGTATTTAGCAGGAAATAATTTTAAGACTTGGCAGAGCATTAAGAGCAAGGGAGACACAAGATCTATGTTCTGATAAACTCAACAGCATTCAGAGATGAGCAGGTTGAGAAAATATAAAGGTCAAGAGAAAGATCCAGCATTCAACTTCGGTTCAGCTTTGCAGCATACATGTAAGTAGCAGAGCCATTTAAAATCATCACATTATAAACAACTATAAAAATATTTCAAGCAAAGTTTAACACTGAAAGTACAAACAAGAAAAGACTAAAGATTTGTTTGCGTTTTCCAAAGTCAGTAACAATCTCATTCTCTCTATTCAGAGTTAGAAGACTGAAGTCTATACACAGAAACAGAAGGAAATAAGCGTGATGCTTACGCACTAGAATTCAAATGTAGCACAGGAAAGTCAAATACTCATTTTACTGAAAAAAGGCAAAAACTATCCTTGACATCACATTGAATTCTACAGTTTTGCTACCAATTTACTGCTATAAACTCAGAGCCTCGGGTCTTCAAAGATGATAACACATACTTACAAAGTACAGCAAAATTAAAGCTCAATAACATAAATGCCAAATTCAAGCTGAATAACGTAATGAAGTTAAAGTTAGTGCCAAAATAACTACTTCTACTACCATGGTGGAGACCGAGATAGAAGCTTTATAGTTAAAAAAGGAATGGAGTTCATGTTCCAATAAGTCAACAGATACTAAGAAGCATTTAAATTATTTCAACATGCAGTGAAGTGTTGAAGTACTCCCAGTGGAATAAATGTTGTAGTACGGAGAAGAAAATTCAGTACATCATGTACAAACAGAGGTGTGTGGTTGGCACTGTAGAGATCTGCATTTGAGATTGCACTGACTTCATATTGGTTTCAGCACATTTACATTCATATGTCAACTGCTACCTTACAGTGGTGAAGTTGAAGTAACTTTCAGTTTGTTCCTGTGTTAAATCAAAGATGAACCACCATTCATGCTGCAAGAAATCTAATGCCAGCTTACTTTCTTGTAATACAAGTATCCATCCAGACACTCCTACAAGGCAAACTGTGACAGCAGTCTAAGCAATATGCAGCAAAATTGCCAACGTTACAACTAAAACCTAAGAAAGTTTCAAAGATACTATGCCTAAACAGCAGAAGGCTGCTACAGTATTCCTCACAACAGTTCAAATGTTTTTGCTATGAAGTTATTTAATATATATACGTACATATATATATGTACATATATATATTTATATACACACACACACACACATTCTTCAGTGACAATAATGAATATTATTATTATTTATGGAAACCTTCCATGGACTTCCCATTTGAGTATTTTGAAGAACTCAAGTTGTAACCACAGTGAAAGACGGACTTTAAAGTATCTTGAATTAAAATCTACCTTAAGAGCTAGAATATAGCCACAGCCTATTTACAGGTGATCTATATTTAAGAGGTGCCTTTGATACCATCACAAACCATTGGGAGTCTGTCTACCTAGCAGGTAACTCCATCCCAAAGGAAAAAGGGCCTGTAAGGCAAGGCTGACACTCCAGTTTTACAAAACACACTGCACAAGAAAGCAGCAGTATGTAGAGCTAACAAAGTACTGCTAACGTTTCAGGAACACTGCTGTGCATCTTAGCAGCTTCAGTACTTTGTGCTGGTGATACAACCAGTGTTAATAAACTGACAAAGTCCTTAAAAAGAACATTTGACATCTTTCTCCCATTTTCTCACAACATAGGTGTCAAGTAAACTATTTTCACTCAAGCGTTCATTGTCAGGTATATTTTCCTCACTGTGAACAGCAGAATACATTATTAGAGGAAAAAGAGAGAAAGCTGAGTATTTCTGGGCTCAAGACAAGCTTCTGCTTCTGAAATAAAGGGAGTGATTTGTGATTTCTAAAAAATTACAATGAGATACAGATACTGCTTTGGACCCTGGATTCTCCAGGCGAACTAACCATGAACTACAATGGATAGATGCTACTGGTTAGAGAGAAGCAACCAGCGATGCAGTTAGATTCCTCCTTCACATCTTTGGTGTCATCTTGAAGACTAAGGTTAGGTAAGGGCCATACAGAAGCCATCCTACGATACCACATGTCTTAGCATCACACCTTAAAAAGTTGCTATCATTTTCTTAATTCTGAAACTTCTAATAAAGCAGCAGAGAACTCCAAATATGCAGACTACTGCTCCTTGAAAAATGTCCACAGAACTCCAGCTTGTCCCACTAAGTTACCTCCTCCCTAACGCTCCGAGTTTGATCCTCATTTCACTGCCAGTTCCTCTCGTCAGCAAGTGAGGACATCAGCAAACTGTTCATACTCCTATTGCATAAACCAAGTAACCCTGACTTCTTGTTACACTGGCTCTTGGTACAGGGTGAAGACACTGCTGATACTGATGTAGGTAACACAGGGTTATTTTTATTGTTGAAGTCACTTAGTGCTTTCACTAGCTACTTGAAAGCTTTCTTTGCCTCACAGTAAATTTTTCTAACCCTCCCAACTGGCTGAATAACTTATATTTAATTTTAACCTGATAATGGAGCATGGCTCAAGGCTCTGTCCTAGCCTAATTGTGACTGAAATAAATGCAACACCTTCAAGCTATTTGTAGCAGTTGTCCTCATTCTTTGGGAGATGACACAGATCTGTCAGCTTCAAGACAGAGAACAAAGATTCCTCTTTGTTTGCACTAATAACAGACACAGACAAAGACAAGGAATTGGGCGAGTGAAGGGAGAAAAGGGTAGGAAGCAGCTGATAGTGAAACTTGGTAAAGACCCAATGTTGAAAGCAGGTCAGGGATTAAAACAGGAACATAAAAGAATATTCTGACACCCCATTATCCTTTATCACCTTATCTACTCCACTATATTATTTGCAGCTTTCCCAGTAAATAGTCTGAAATTAATCTTTTTCTTTGAAAGATTGCTTCACAACAAAAGGATTTCTCCAGTGCTGCAACTGTGTTTGGCTTTGAACAAACTTTTCAGTTCTGTGACTGAACTAACATCAATGCAAATGTTTTGCTATTTCTTATGAACTAAATAAAATGCTTTTCTTACCTTACATAAATAGAAATAAAACATTTCTTTGCTGCCTGTAAAGGACCCTGCACCACACCTTCCTTTCTTTCCCTGGAGGATTAAGGCTCCTCATGTTCCATCAGGACAGCAGCACAGTTTTAGGTAACGACTGCACTGAAGGAACAGTGGCTGTGCAGGGTAGGAGGCTGCTGCAGAAGACAGCTCCAATTAGAGCAGAAGTGATCTGAAAGCCCTCTGGACCCATTCTACTGACTTGACTGCCCTGGATGTTCTTTGCTTCGCCTTCTATCCCACTAGGTTTGATTTTTGATTTTATTCATTTATTTTAAATAATCTGCAAGAACAAACAATTGAATGTAGCAGAATCCACAGGAGGGAAGGCAAAGTCTTCTGGAAGACGCATTACAAGTTATAAGTAAAGATTAGTATCCAATTCAAATAATAATTCAGCTGTCAGTACACTTAGGGCAGAAAATAGGAAAGGTCTGGGGTGTGCATCACCTGGGTGTGGCGAAGGAAGGGACTGTCCTGCTCTGCTCAGTGCTGTGCAGCCTCACCTTGAGTGCTGTGTGTAGTTTGGCCACCACAATATCAGAAGGACTTAAAACTATTAGAAAGTAACTGTCTAAATGAGGGCTGTGAAGATGTAGAACGGTGAAGGCGGCAACACGTATGACTACGTGGCTGAGGTGCCTGGATGTGCCCTGCCCAGAGCAGAGGAGCTGAGGGGAGGCCTGATGGCGGCTGCAGCTCCTCACAGGGGCAGCGCTGAGCTCTGCTCTGTGTGACAGTGACAGGGCCCGAGGGAACGGCATGGAGCTGCGGCAGGGGAGGGCAGCTGGGGTCAGGGAATGGTTCTGCACCAGAGGGCGCTGGGCATGGAATGGGCTGCACAGGGCCCCGAGTGCTGGAGTTCAACGAGTGTCTGGGCACTGCTTACAGACAGCGGGTTTGATTTGAAGGTAACTTTTACGCAGTATGGAGCCAGGAGTTGGATTTGATGATCCTTGTTGGGTCTCTTCCAACTCATGCTACATTATTATTCTGTGTTCTTCTGTTCCACTACAAAAAGTTGGGTCACAGTCATCATGAGTGTTAACGGAATTTTTCAGCAGTTGTCAAAGCTACTCCATCCAGATGTTAGTTTAGCCAGAGGCATTGAGCTATTCCTAGATGTTACATAACTGTATATGACTGGAAGGCTTTTTATAAGACTGTCTGAAGTAATTTGTGTTGTAATTCACCCTCCTCCCCCAACACCATCAGATGCTTGTTTTTATATACACATACAAATACTGAAGCACTAATTCAGCGCACGTTCATATTTACAGCCAATGCTATAAAAGCAAAACTTTAACGTTACAGTACTATCTCAGTACTGTATCTTGGTTCTAGTTCTAATGATGTGCAGATTACCAAGAATAATCTAAAATAAAAAGCATTATCTTTTTTTCTTTCCTGGTTTAACAGCATCACACAACCATACATTCCATGCATTTATTTTGCAATTAATTTTGAATAGGAACACAGGATCTAAATACGTTGAGGGGAAAAAAACTGATACTAAGTACTACTCTAGATTACACCTAATTTCTTTTTAAAGATCTTTTTTCAAGTAACTTAATTTTCATTTAAACAAGAGTGGCAGTGCTTAAGTCTTTCTATGGTCTTTTCTAGAAGCATTCATGACAGTTTTCAACAGAGATCATTTTTCTTCAAAGCCATTCTGCAATCTATGCTGTGTTTCCACTTCATTTGTCCCAAAGCACTTTTGGAACCCATCTCAGCAAGCTTTTCGGGAGACTGACCTTCAATCACGCCTCAACTACTCCCATCTTTGTAACGTTTTCACTGTCTGTTCATCAGATACAGTTATACAGTAGCTAGATATTTTGCTGAAATGTTTAGTATATTCCACACCATTTAAAGCTAAAGATAGGAATTTCTGTCAATACATAGGACTGTGAGTTGAGAACTAAATTGCTAATTTACTTCTGTTAATCATATATTTGCTGCCACTCAAGTACTTTCAAAGATCACTCAGTAAGGAATTAATAATAGAGTCTACTCAGCTCAAGAGAAATAATTTAAGGAATGTTCCTAACAGCAATATTTGATAATTTTGATATAAACAAGAGGTAAAGCAGATCAGACCACAGATTGTGAAAAACAGATTCTAGTTTCCATTCTGTACGTGTTACTAATAGGAGGGACCTCAGAGGCTTACACAGAACCACTAGAACATCATTACAAACACACTAAACCTCCTGTGTATTCATGTGTCTCACGCAACAGTTCTGGATTATCTTTTCAATGCCTTACAGTCAAATTAGAGCCAACTCAACAATGTGTTACTTAGCTCAAAGCCAACCTATTTTAGAAGAAAGCAACTTCTTCACTGTCAACTTTGTGCAGGAGGCAAAGAACAAAGCACCAAAGAAATTATTGCTCTTAATTACTTCAAACTATAAACAACTATCAATTGTTTCCACCAAAACCTCTTCAAGCAGATTTTCACACTTCTACTTAATCTAATAGCTGATCAATGGCTAAGTAGCTTTTAAAAACAATAGTTATATATATTAGAAAATGTTAAATATTTAACACATCAGATCAACACTGGAGAATTCTTAAAGATAACTCAGCTTTTCAGTAACACAAATTCTTCAGCTGATCTACCAAAAGAGCCAAGCATTTAGCTACATTCCTAAGTTTAAATACTTGTTCAAAAGCACTATCTATTAAGGTTGCTCCTTTCTAAGTAGAAAGGACACAGGCTTTAGGGAAATAATATCTGAGAAACACACTCTTTGAAATACTTACGTATGCAAGTCTCTGAGTATTTATTATGATCACCCTAATATGAAAGACTGAACAAACATCCTAACAGCCAGAAAGACACATACAAAAACATAATTATGACAAACGTTTTGAAAATGAGAATTGTATGTTATTAGGTACATCCTCCAACTACCTAAATCTGTCAATTTCCCATAAGATTTTATTTTTACTCCAATATTAAGTACCAGAACATACTTCAGTTGAAACTCTTAAGGGTCATTCTCAAAAACACAAACTGTTGAACCTTCTGGTTTTCACTAATTCTGTGTATAAAATCAAAATCATCCAATGTACAAACACATGGCAAAATTAATGCTTTTTGGAGTGTACTAAAAAGAAAGTACAAGTTTTCAGGAATGTTCTGTAGTTTAGAAAATTTACCTTTCTTCCCCTACAAATGCTTCCAATTTCATGAAAACAAATCACAAGTATTACTTTGCAGCCTTACATGAAAAGGTAGGTTCAGCAAATACATCGCATCTTTTTTGATATTTGAATAACTATATCATCTATTTTTATTATGTCTGTCAGTGTGCTTTTCTTCTTCACAATTTGAAATTCCACAGAAGTTACAAAAATAATGAAGTGAAACCCCCAAGTCCTCTTGTTGTGTCTAACTCCCACCTAAAGGCCTCATAGAACACCTCCTGGGGAGGAGGGGAACAGTCCAAGTCCAAGTTTCTTTTTCAGGTCACTCACCTTTGGTAACTCCCATTCTGATCGGGAACCATCAGCACTGTAGTAGTATGGTCTACCTTGTTCATCTGCATGTTTTAACCACTGTAGAAAGAAGCATGATGACAGGAAATGTAATTAGTGTGACAGTCATAACATAGCTAGACTCTGATAATTAGGAGTTAAAGTGAATTCTTAATAAAGTTCCATCCACTTCAGCAGGGTGTGCTAAATAACCTCTGTTAACTAAATTTAGTCAGTAGTGAGAACATAACAGTTTTCAGCTTCCTGCATTCAGCTCACTATCACTTTTTCCTTCTGCAACTCCTCAGGCAAAACTCCTGCAGTAACACAGATACTGAATTCCTGATGACTCACATAATCTACCACGAGATTGTGATAAACAGATATTTTGAAGATTACACATCTCACTCTTATCATCATTATGATGTCATTTTAAGGAGGTACGATCTTTACACCAGATCCGTGTAAGGATTTTATACATAAGATTACAAAATTTCAAGTAGCTCATCTAGTAACTGCTGATAATTTAAGAGATTATTAAATAACCTGAACTCCGTTTTCATAGCATCAACAGGAGCACGAGTTGTAGTCTGAGATGATAACACAGATTCTGTAACCTCTAACAGCAACTCCCAGAATCAAAGAGTTAAAACCGTGGTGTCTATGACTAATGGTGCAGAACAAACAGAACTGTAAAGAGCAAAATTCTACAGGACTTTTGCACAATAATATGCATGGAAAAACTCACACCTCAGGTCAAGTAGGTTTCACAAAATTATGCATCAATAACTTGTTTTCTATCAGTCCCAATGCAATTTTCTTTTTTTTTTAAACGTTTGCCTATTTGCCAAAAAAAGAGCATGCACTATAGATTTTTAGCAGAAATAGATCCAAGAAGGACAAAAATGCATAACTGACATAACTATTCAAAAGCTTCTTTAAAAGCACTTGCGTATGTTAAGTGGAGAACAAGTGATGATACAATAAACATTTCTTGAAAGTCAAAGAAATCAAAACAACTTCAGTGGAAAACTAGAAAAATGGACTGCTTTACAAATATAAAAAAATATTGCAATTTTTTCTGCACGGGAGAAAATTCTAGCATACATCCAGAATCATGCTAAGTTGTCAGAAGCAATTCAGTAATTAGAACAGAACACAAATCTATCAATACAGCTATGGTGTAAGTATGAAGTTTGTCTACATCTGAAAGCAGCACTAAAAACTTTTTAAAAAGGATGAAACTGAGAAAGAAGAATTTTCAGTTTGAAACCATCTGGGAGACATCTGTAGACAAGAACAACACTTAAAAGGTAAGAAGAACATTATATTGGTATGAAATTCATTCCTCAAGCATAACCAAAAGGATGGAAGGTGGGAAAAAAACATACACATTATATATTCATTTAAAATAATGTGACACCAATGAAAATAAGAAAACCTCCCCTGAATGGTGAAGTACATGTGAGAAAAAAAATAGTTCATTTGAGAAAGCTTCATGCATATTTAAAAAACAAAAGGGTAGATACCACTAAGGAATGCTATTCACTTCTAGAAATGAAATCTGCATTTCTATTAGTGAATTAGCTGAAGAGATTTAGAGCATGTGATGAGAAGAAGGAAAAAAGTACCTTTTCATTAGTATAGTCATTGGTATATAAGGTTTGACCATGTTCATCCAACTCTTCTGACCAACCCTTTGGAGGAGAACCGTACTGACTATCTGACTGGCTGTAACAAGAACTGTGGTCGTTTTCTTCTGATGAAAGATGCTACAAGTATCAGAAACATACAAGGCAGTTTTGAGAATGAAAATGCTTTAAAATCTGAAAGATCAAAGATTATTTGACTAGAAAGAGAATAGTAATAAGAGCAGGAAGTTCACATTTTTATACCTTACATGAGAAAATGAGCTCATAGCTAATCAATAATTGCTAGGTAATTAAAAAATTTCATAACACAATTTATACTCTTTCTTTACTAACCCAGATTCCAACTACTCAAATTCTAGCAGTGTCATGTGACAGATTCAAAACTAATTAACACTCTGAATCCGTTGCCAATGTAAACTTTATTCCACCAATTTGTATTACTGAATGATGAAGGAAGCTAGCTTTCATTACCTCTATTACCCCAGAACACCCACAAGACATACTACACCTTGTTTTTCTGGCATCATTCCAGCTTTCATACTTAAATTCCCTCGTTCTCTTCCCTAATAGTACATGGAAACCAAATGATCATTCAGGATAACTTGAAACTTCAGCTGAATCTGTCCATGTGTATGATGCATCCTACAACGTTAGCAATTTTCAGTCTTTACCTTCCATTGTCGGCATGTGACAATTTAAAAGCAAGACCTGCTAAAGACACAGCTGACTGAACTGTAAGATTGTCTTCTAAAGGTAAGAGTTAATTATAACATGGAGAACAAGTTTGATGCGTGAAATAGAAGAAAGGTTTTGCACACACATCAAAACTTCTGGTAACTCACCACGTGCACGAGGGAAACTCCCTAAGCTGACATAAACTGACTACTAAGCACAACAAAATCCATAGATCATTTCTGGTCATTCATAAAGCAACATGAATGTCTTCAACAGCCTACAGAATGTGAGCATTTAAACTATGCATTAAACAATCTCGTCTCTCTCACATAACACAAAAATCTGAACTGCCAATTTTTAATTAACTGGGGCAAAAAAGTCTTCAGTCACATTTTTACACTTGGACTTGAGACTAACAAGTTGAAAATGCTGCTACAGGCTCCTCTGGAATAATTGTTTTATAACACAGCTGTAGTGTGTACACATATTTATGTTTACATTATAGTTTAATGTTCAAATACTGATTAGAGAAATGTCAGTGCACTTAAGGTAGCAGACTTTGGAAATTTTTGTTTTTTTTTTTTTTTTAACAAGAATTATGGCCAAACAAGATAATGTTTCTTCCAAATAACTCCTTATGCTAAGGAAAGCAACATACAAATAAAAACTAAATATTCTCCTAGGAGAAAAATAGAAACCAGCCTGTTGCTCATTAAGAATGACTTAACATGTCTGTCTGTAACATACCTATAACACAATAGTTCTGATATTCCAAGGCTCGGCTAATCCCATCAGCACACTGTCTAGGAGTTTAACTTTGGCTGATAAACTTAAATGAAGTTGCAGAGATATTACAAAGTTTATCAAACCAAAGTCATTCTTTAATGCATAAAAACAAATGCTGAAGTTGCTTAAATGGGAATTAAAAATAACACTGGACAAACCACGCTCTACAACTTCTGGTTCCTCTTCCAACACCTTTCCAGTACTAACTGCCTCTATGCTTCCTACTTCATGTCTTCATGTAGCCTACATATTTCTACTTAGGAGTCCCAGCCCCAATCATATTCTACCTCAATCAACTAGAAACATCTAAAGCAGACAGCTACCAAATCTGTCACCTCGTTTTACTGTAACTTAGCCTGGTATCTCAACCTTTACCTATTTTGGTAAAAGCATTAAAGGTCATAAATGAAATGCTGAACACAAACAGTGGACTGTGAAACACTCACAAATGAAGACTGAAAAGAAGAAAAAGTGGTTTAAAAACCAACAACTAATAGCATAGCCATAGAGGATGAATTACATAAGAATCTTGTACTATTTGAAATTTTTCAACTAGACAAGTTTATATTAATCAAAGCACATATCATCCACGGACCTTACAAAAAAAGAAATTGAGATGGAGAAGATTGATGGATAGAACTGGTAAAGTTATAACAGATTGGCCTTCAAACATCATAAATAAGTGAACAAACTGAGCTATCTGATATAACAGTAAAAACAAAGCAGTAAAGAAGTTAAGCTTCTGAACATGCAGCTACGTGGTGAAATGGTGGTACAGAGGTTTGAGTCAGAGGAATCATCTGCAGATGGTGGGGGAAAGAATTTTTGAAAGTACTTCCATGAGAAGGAACAATGATGACATTAGGAAACCAGTTACACTTATTGCTAGGTGAGTTACTACTCAAAAAATAAATAAAAGCAGTTATTTCTTCACAGGTGAGCACTCCAGAAGAACAAAACTGTACCTAGCAAAAGAACAGCCAAGTGTGAAATTAACATATAATTGTCAGAGACTGGCAAACTGAGTTTTGCCAGTTTACCTGCTGCAGCCACTAGCCGGTGGCGAGAAGATAAGACTCTTTAAATGCTTGCAAACACCACTGCTGCTCAGAAGGCCATTCCCAGTGGCAATGAGAGGGCTCCCTTTTCCTGTCCATCCCGTTTCTGGCACTAATGGCCCAGAGGCAGACTTCCACAACAAGACATTTAGCCATCTAAAATTTCTGAGCAGTATACAATTAAATTTTAAAACTAAACAACATAATAGCTCATGTGTGGTTCAGGTGGATTTCCTCATATCTGAAAAAGGTATATGAAAATGAAAGATTTCTTGACAAATGTTTGCTTTTTCTCTCAAGTTTGATACTGATTAACCTCAGTACTGTTTGAACACAAGAGCACTATTTTAAGCATATTTAAACAGTAATATTCATCTTCCAATTATTCCTTTTCTTTATGTGAATCACAGCAAATTGAGATAGACTAACACCACTTCTTTGGCTCTCCCTAGCAATCAGCTGCACATAACATACTAGCAACTCAAATATTATCCCTAACTAATTTTTAATGCAAATAACTTCTGTGGGAAAGCCTAACAACAGTAAACAGCTTTAAAAGGTGAAGGATTTGCATTATGAGAAAAAGATAACCTTTATAGCTGGAATATAACTAAGTCAAAAGTTCCTACAGCCTTCCCCAAGCATTTGCCATCATGAGACCCAGACACTTGATTACACACCTCCCAGCACTGTACTTATGTTCTCTTCTGAAGGATATCCAGTTATCATTCACAGAATTAAGAAAATGATTTCCTCAAAGTTCACAATTTTCCCTAACAAAGTATTACTCTTTTAATTGTCTTTTCCTCTAGTTTTCTCTACAGATATCCAAGGCCCCACAAAGAAATCACTGACAAGTGTGTAAGTTCATTCATCCTAAGCAAACAGTTAGATAAAATTAATGGAATTGAATAAAAGCCTCAATTTCATCAGTGTTCTTGATGCTGTTGGAAAGTGCTACAAAATATCACTAAGTCTAGTTTTAGCTCCCAAACTCTCCTGCATAGACTTACTGCCACAGCACTAACCAAGCATGAACAAATACCTGCATGTCCCTTTCCTTTGTTTTACTGTGTATTTATCTTATACTGATAACTCCCCTTATATTTTTATCTCCCTTCCCTGTTTCTAGAAACTGCCTCACTTCCTCTCCTTTCCCTACTCCCTTTACCACCACAGAAATGTGCAGAATACACTAAAAAAGAGAACATATTCCTACAATGGTTTCCTTACTCTGTTGTCATAAGTCCTGTTAGTTTCAAGCTCTCCTTTATTTTCAAAAGCAAACCCACAACACCTGATGAGGGACTGCCAGGTGCTTTCACAGCTAGTACAAGATGAGTCATGAGCCTGAGTACATATTTCACGTACACATTTTCATATACAAAATTGACTGAAGTCAATGGTTGATGGTTACTACATCCCATGAAGCCACATGACTGAAAAGACAAATGAAGACAGTCCTTGATACCTCAAAATTCAGAGATATCAAGTTCTATAACAAAACAGTATTCATATGCATTACAGTCTCATTGTGATCTCAGAACAAACTACCTCATGATCTGCATGGCTCTGGGAATCCCCTTTATTAATGCTTGCATCTCGGGCCCAACGTGGAGGTTTCCAGGTTCGTTCCTGTGATCCTCTGTTGTAGTAATAACAGCGTCCTGTTGTATCTTTATGGGTTTCCCATTCCCCATTTATTTGGACTGGAGCACTTGTAGGTAGTGGTGGAAGTGCAGACTGAGATATTTTCAGTTCTTGTAAATTAGCATAAACTGGTGAATCAGGCCTCCCTTGGCTTGGTGGAGTAGTTGGCTATTGAGAGAAGAGATGTATTATTAAAGAGCAAAATGAATTTTATAATGCTCCCTTACAAATCAGCATATATTACAAGAGTAAAATTAACCAACAAACTCCTCTTTTCTTTTTTTGTTAATTATATAAGCACAAAGGAAAGCCACAAGATGCCAAAAATTTTTCAATATTAAACAGTTATTGTTTGTGATATTAACTTTATAGTTCATATTTCAGCATTTCTCCAAATGACAGTTGATAATTGCCCTGCAATGGATTTGAAATGCACTAAAATCTTCATCAAATAATTATACATTTTAAAACTTCAGCTATACAGTTATTGCTCAGTAGCTGTAAGCAATATGATCTTGTTTAAGATGAAACATAGCATTTCTTACATGTTACTTAATCAATTAAAGATGGTTTCCCAGTCTTTTTCCTCCCCTAATACTATATAAATTATGGTGAATATATCGCAGTGCTTTTGTTCCCCAATGAGAACTAAACAAACTGTTGAGTTTGAAAGACAAATACAATGTTGTGATGCTGAAACTCCAGAAAACACTTGGATGGTTTACCTGTAAGCCTTTCCAAATAAATGCTTATTTAAGCTCTTTTATGTAATAACACTGTGCATTCTGATTACCACTCCCTTCTTACAAAAATTGTGGATACTTATTTAAAGTGCCCAATTATTCATACATATGCAAATAAGGAGAACAACAATTGTCCACAAGGAAATAAAAAATTAAGGACAATTTCACATTCGTAGTTTGTGGATATGAAGACCTGTGAAAAGCATAGTTAAAAGTCTGTGGTACTTACTGAAACCATGAGTACTTTCAAATAAGCCACAGAAGTGGTTAGAAGAAAAATATACTTTTTGATGTTCAATTTCTGAAGTGCAATAGAAGCACATAAAACACACCCTGCAAAGGATAAGAGTGTGTATTTTCATGAGAACTGTGACTAGGAGACTGTGGAAGCAACTTGCCATTAAGCCAAACTGAATGCCTGTTAATGCAGAGCCAATTCTCTACATCACAGCATTTATTCAGACACTCCAAAGAAAGTAAAAATATCATGCAAACCATACCCCTCCCCCCCACTTGCTTTTAATTTAGAAGCTTTGCTGTAGGCAAGCCCTTGTGCCTCTTGCTGCATCTTTCAAAGAAAAAAAAGAACATACTGCATTACATAAAAGATCCTTTACAATGTGCTTTTAAACATTAATACCTTAGACTGCTAATCATGGCCACATCTAATCATAAATTATTGGGGTTTGCTCAGACAAGACGGGATATTGTACCACACAATCAGATATCAACTGCTTGCACCACAGCTGGAACCAAATATGGGCAATATCCACAACCAGAAGGGGAAATAGCCAGAGAGGAACTTAATGAGATTAAAACAAGCACAGACCTGTTTTGTGAATCTTTAAAAGTGAAAAGACAACTTACTGGATACAGCAAGTACAGTGTGTTTAACAGGAATATACAGCAAACCTGGGGGAAAAGGGTATCTGCAGCACTTGCAAAATCAGCTGAAAACAATTAGCATCTCCTCCATCAATTCAAAGGAAAGAAACCTACTACAAAACTTTATGAAAACACTACTTTTCTACTACCCAAGTCTCTCCTTTTAGGGGGGCAGGAAGGAAGGATGGAACAGCTGGATTTGGTAAAGTACTGTTTCTTGAGGACATTAATAGCATAAGGAGCACTGCCATAAATGTTCTCAGGAACGTCCCTCGACTACATTGAACGCTGAGAGCGCCTGTGGTCAGCTTCCATACAGACAGTGCCCCCAAGCCACAGCAGGTCCTCCCACTTCAAAATGTCCTTCCTCCTATGTCCCGTCATGCCTGGGGAGTGAGGAGCCCCATCCCATGTCACTCTCACTGCCAGCCTGTGTGAAGCAGCAGTAGCAGCAGGTCCAGGTGGCAGCACACAGAGCCCCAGGCTCTGCCTCCGCTCAGGGCAGCCGTCCCCCAAAGTGCCCTGCCTGCTGCCACACAGGCCTCAGCCTTGCACAGCAATCCTCAATTTTTGCTTCCATGAAAGACCAGAATTGATTTCGGCACTGTAACTAGAACAACTCTGGATCCGGATGAAGCTGCAGGACCCATGTCACACTAGAATGATATTGGAAGCTCAAGGCCAATGTGCTGCCATGCAGCTCAAGCAACACATCAGTTACACTTCATACACTAATGTGTGATGAAATTGTAATGTGTGTTTTCCTTCCGACTGCTTAATACTTCTAAACTAAAATTTCTGGTTTTCAAGTGGAGAAGTCAGAATTTCTGCCCAGAACAGCAAACAAGGCAGCCAAGAGTCCTGCCAGCCAGTCACCTTTGCTCTCTCCTGAGAGACCTTTTTGGTAGAATTACAAGATTTAAGAGACACCCTTTAAGTTATTGTTTTCAGCAAAGCATGAAAAATGCAAACTCATAAATCTACCTTCAGCACACAGCTTAGCTTTAAGTGCATCCATGGGGATCCAACGTTCTTATCAGGAACTGCTCTGAACAACCACCCGGCACGCAGCAGCACTTCCCCATACCTCTGAGCACGCAATGAGGTGTGCTGCTGCCTGCAGTGCTGAGTTCAACAGCACCCAACATTACCAGTGTTAATTTTATCTGGTAAAAATTTGTTTATTAATAAAGCAACTTATAAAAGCCCCATGAAGACCTCTGTGTGCTGCCCTGGGGATGCGAGCAGGAAGGCCCGTCCCTCCCCAGGCAGCTCCCACCAGGTGGCCCTGCCGAGCTCCCAAGCCTCCCACACCCTTGCCCTTGTGATGAAGGTGACTGCTTCTAGTTCAAGTCTGATCTGCAAAAACTGCCACTAGTTCCAAGTCAAAACGCATAGTAAAGTAATTTAATTGTGTTCTTTTCATTTCCTAAGCTCATGCTAATGTGTAAATAGGAGTAAATAAAGCATTACCTAAATCAGAATCGTTTATAACAATTTCCATGGCTGTTTTCCCAAATGCAGATAAATACAGGTTTGCTAAACATCAAACATTTCTGGAAGTACACGTGGACTTCCAGTTAGAACTTCCCTCCCTACCTCCTTTCCTGCCCTACAGAACTTCCAATGCTCACACAGGCAGAATTAAATCTACTGAAAGAGACTACTTGTTCTTGCAACTCTGATAGTGAGAAAATATGTAAAACACGTCCTTTAGCATGCTCACGCACGTACACAGAAAGTGCATTTCAAGCTTCATCTGCCTCTTGGTATGATTTCAAGCTTCTTCCTGCTACTTTCTCTGACTGAAAGCAGTGAAGAACTCTTGCTAGGTAGAGAGTGATGAGGAAAAATGAGAAAGGAGAAGTATTTCTGCAGTATCACAGTGAAAAATCACACAGCCCTGCAAGCACATCAGCCTTATGACCTTATACCTCCCCTTAACTCAGTAATGCTCAACAGTTTAATACATTTGAGGACTCCTGTTTTTAACTCAGTTAAGTTGCAGTATCAGCAAACAAACACCTTGCAAACTGATAATGAAGACTTACACACAAGAAGTTTCCAGGATCAACTCATAAGTTCTTCAAAATCAGAACAGGATATGTGGCTTTTTTGGAACTTAGTTATTACATTGGCACAGTAGGAAGCAGACACATGCCTTTAAATAAAACAACTTGTTAATCATTCATGAATGAGCAGTCAACATTTTCAAATGCCAGATATGCTATCAGGCCTCTGAACACATGCTTGAACTCAGTGCAGTGGAAAGCAATCTTACTATACTTCACAAGGTACTTTTTCATTATCAAAATGCACAGAAGCTTCTCAAAGAATACCTTGGGTTTTAAAGTTACTTTAAACAAATGGCTTTCTTCAGACAGCAGTATTTGTTCAAGCATCCAATATTAAAGCAAACAAACGAAGAGGTTCAATGCACTGCAGCAGCCTAATACTGCAATTCTAGTAAAAGCAAGGACAAAAGATCTCTTCCTATCCGCTAAAAATATGTTGTTGGTTTCGGTATTGTTTGTTTTAAAAGCAATGAGAACATACTGTATCAAGGACGCAAGAAATTCAGAGATGAAAAAACACCCTGAATCTGACAGTCACCTTTTACAGCACTCAAATCCAATACAACAGCTTTTAGAGCATAACTGTTTCCAGAACAAATCATAAATGATTTTCCCTCCATTACAAATGATTACTTTGTCCTGTTTCTGTTCACAGCTTTTCTGAATATTATAACCTTGAAATTAAGGGCCTCCATTTCAGTAACAGCATTCAGATTGCTAAAATTCGCTGTTAATGAGACAAAAAAGGGCAGGTAAACCCTATCATGATGCACTAGATTACACTCAGCAGATCACCCACACTCATGTGTAAGATCAGCAGAGGGAAAATGAAGAATCCCAGTTCCCCCAGCAACCAAGCTTCTTGCCAAGGAATTGCCACTGTCCTTTCAGCAAGGCCTGAGACTTCAATGCCAGCTTCATTCCACAAGAATGATATCAAAGTAATCTCAGAACCTCTACATTTTCATTTTCAAGAAGTGACAGCTTCAATTGGAATCATCAGTTTATCTCCTCCTTCCTCTTCCTGCTCAAGGCCTGGGTTTCTACAAACATGCTCAGGATCTTTCTTTCTTTCTAACCTGTTTGGGCACATCCAAAACTTCTTACATTCTTGGGTGTTACATGAGGGAGTTTTTCAACAAGTTCCGACTTCACAGGTAAAGATAAACTCATTTAAATAGCAAAGTTAAAACGGGAACCCAAACAATTCTGTGTGCACTGACTTTCCCTGGCCAAATATTTAACTATGTAGTGCCTTAGACTGTAAGCCTATGATATGCTTTGAAAGAAAAATTATTACAGGCCTGTTAATACCTGATCATGGATTTACAGCCAGCCACAGCAGTGCAAATATTATTTAACAGTACTAAATTTCACCCATTGATTTATCATTATAAAGTGATAAAAAAAATAAAGGATTTAGTGAAGCAATACAGAATTAAAAAGATCCTGTAAAAAAATCTCA